GCTGGTGTGAAAAACAGCATCGTGTCAGCTGAACTTTAGCTGATATCTATGTGGCGGCTACCTGCCTTGCGCGTGACTTCACTTTTTGCTCCTTTTCTTGACTCTGACTTTAGTCTACCAATTCTCCTTGTGCATGCACCATTAGAATGAGGATGCATAAGGCTCTTGACATAATACGCGAACTCTAGGCGCTCGTAATAAACTCTAATGTTGCTATGTGTGGCTTGGCACGGCATGGTGGCACAGTATCTTCTCTGGGGTAAAGTTTTGATACAGCCAGCACTCTGTTGAACGTGGTCCTCCCACTGTTTCCAAACCATAATTACTTCTCCTCCCAAACCCATCGGACCTGTGTGGGTTTGTTTAGTGATAATGCAGTGTTTCTCTCCAGTTTCCCTAATATTATTTCGGGCGAGTGCTCAGTTTGGCCAACGGGGGGACAAGCCACGCGTACATGTGGTCCATGTGGCATTCCGACGAACAAAGTGTCGCTTTCACGGCGACTTCTCCAGGGCCAGTCGATTTGCCCACACGATATTCAGAATCACAAGCTGCGTCTTCCATATACGGCATACGATGAACAACATCAATCTATGGGTAAAGGAGCTATAGGTCCATGTCTTTCTCACCGCTGCCAGAGGTGGCCCCTTGTCATGTGAATTGGTGGCCTAATGCACAGACTGTCAACAGACCTTTCACAGGCACCTCCAACCACTCTCCCCCTTTTTGTTGTACCTTGCATTAACAATATGTTTCTCCATCAGGACTGCATAGTTAAGTGTGACTTGTGACTTCGTACTGTAGGTGCAAAAAACGGATATTCCGCAGCGTTGATTAGTGCGCCCGAGCGCGCGGAGACTGCGCATGCGCGAATAATTTTTTCGCGTTTCCTCCCCCCGGTCTTCTGCCACTCTGCGCGCGCGGGGGGGTGCGCGCAGCAAGTATAAAAAGGCTACTGCTTCATGGCTTGTGCAAGAGTCCTCATTGAGCATATGTGAAGAGAGCAGACACTACTGCACAGTGCTTGTAATCTTACATATATTCATCTGAAACCTGGAAGCCCACCAGCGAAATAAACGATTCTCTATGGTGATCTCGGCAGTCAACTCGCGTGCCTCTTCAGCAGAGCCTGATCCTAAGATGAACTATGCCAACCATCACCCCCTCCACAGTTTCGGGGGCTCGGACGTTGAGCTCGGCTCCGCTTGCACTCCCTCCAGCACCGCTTCCTGGGACGCTGCTTCCGTGGAAGACTGCAACGCTGCAACGGCCGACCTCATTGCGCCGTCTGCGGAGCGAGCCGCAGCGGTGAGACCGGGCGTCGGTGGCACACCTGCGGGAAAACTGGAGGAAACCCTCTCATCTTGTGCAGGAGGCAAAGTCAAGCCGTCCGAGAACGGAAACGACGACAAGGACGGGGAGCTGGGCGAAAAGAAGCCAAAGTTCCAGAAACCGCCGTTCTCCTACAACGCACTGATCGTGATGGCAATTCGCTCCAGCCCGGAGAGAAAACTGACGCTCAGCGGAATATACGACTACATTCTGAAGAACTTTCCCTACTACCGCGAGAACAAACAGGGGTGGCAGAACTCGATAAGACACAATCTGTCCCTCAACAAGTGCTTCGTAAAGGTGCCCCGTCCGTACGACGATCCCGGGAAAGGTAACTACTGGACGCTAGACCCGTCCAGTGATGACATTATGTTCATCGGAGGCACCACGGGAAAGCTGCGGAGAAGACCCATCTCCAGAAGACAGCAGGGTCCGGAGATTTACGGACACAGCTTTGCAAGAGTGCCTCCACTACCAATGCCCAGACCACCTCACCTCCACGGAATGCCTTATGGAATGGACCCAACAGGCTCCTTGCCTGCGTTCAGCAGCCCCTTCATGCAGAGCACAGGTCCCCTTCCAGCCGATGCAGCATCCTCAGGTCCTGCAGCCACTCCTTCTGGGCAGGCGGGCACTGCAACGGTACCCCAGATGCCTCCAAACCAGAGCACCATGTTCCTGCAGCACCCCTTCAATTATCCGGCTCTCGCCTCGCCGTTTGGCTCGTCCAAGTCGCAGTCCTTTTCGTTCACGATGAACCACCTTCTCAAACCAGACACCGCCACCAGCACAGCTGCCACCACCTCCTACATCCCCAGTGGTCATCTCGGCCTCAGCTCTCCTCTTCCCTATCGCCTACCGAGCCCGAGCATCTCCAGCAGCATGCATTTCCCCGGGCTCACCCCTCTCTCTCCCTCGGGCAGCCAGTTCTTCTTCATGCCCACGACTCCTGTACTCAACCCCGGTGCCACCACATTCTTCCCGGCTCCCACCTCCAGCTTTGCCTCTTTCTCGCAGTCCCAGCCCCCGACGACGTACCCGCAGCCCAGCACTGCCTACCCCATCTCCCAGGCGTGCTCCGAAGCATCCACATCGACCACGCTCGCATTACCACCCCACTCAGACTCCATTAGCAGCCTGTATTCCAGCCAAGCACGTGTGAACACTACCACACTGTAGGTGTGTGAAATATTTGTGTGTGGTGTGTATCTGTGTGTATTTGTGTGTATTACAAACTATAGAGTCATGCAATTTGCCACACAACAGACATGAGGGGTAAGAATTTGTAAGGAACTTCCACAGGATCTCACAGGCAATCATATTGCATAATCACATCATTATATCATATCGTTACATTTTTATTTTAAATCACTTGTAGTTTTTTCCACATATCTATATATTATTTTCCCTTCATATCAGCTGTACATAGCTGGTACTATGTACCTCACAAGCGCATGTTTTGAACAGATTTTAAAGATCAAGATCTATTATTTTTTCCAACGAATTCTACTCAATGAAGCGATCAGTTTGGCAGCGCAATCTTGTAAAATTTGAGGCTCTAGACGTTAATGCACCCCCAATAGGAGGTTTACTGAATGCCTTATGGGCACAACCACCTGGAAGGAGTGAGTAATATCTAACAGGGTCAACGGTATCGATGATTCAACCCCCTAATGGGTGTCTTTGTGGGTTACTGTTCAGACAGATCTGGGTGAGAAGGTTGCCCAAGAGTTAGAGGACACAATACGGTAGGAATGACATGCTGGCTAGCTCCCCGAGTGTGTACACAGAGCACTGTGCACTGTGTAAGCCGATACATCAGTGTTGCTGCTTGTTTGCCAACACTGGCGCCTGCTCCAAGTGGACGTGGGCCATTTGTGAGGGTGGAAGCGTTGGTTAAGTAGCTAATGACCGTCTGGTTAATAACGTCAGAATGCAGTGATGAATTGCGACATCAGAAGATCAGTTGGACTAAAAAGTGTTATTTGTGCGTGGGCAACAATGGATTAGCTGACTCTACAGACATTCTGATTGTGAAAGGTGAGATATTGCGTCTGTGTAGTGACAACATAGTGTGATTTACACCAAAAAAGTGATGTGCTACAGACATTACCTCGGGACATGTATCACACGGTCACGAAAAGTTAAAAGACACAAACCAGCGATCAAAGGAACAAAAACACACAATGATAAAAAGTAGGTGTTGTATGCAGGGCACAAGGTTTTAAAAATCGACAAGATGCTAAGTGGTTGGGTAGGCTAGGAAGTTCCCGATCTGTAGGGAGCGGTGGGCGGGACTAGGGAAGTAGGGGAGGGGCTAACAGTCCGGCGCCGACGGATGTTGATTGGTCTGCGAGGCAGGGGCAGGGAGAGATTGGTACCGCTGGCCGAGAGTGAGAGAGCTGTACTGCTAGAACTGGGCGGAGTGGTCTCCCCACTGTCTGCTCCACTCTCGACCTGGTGGACTCTGTGGAGTTTTTCTGGCACCGAGCGATTCCTAGGAAGTCGCTGTCTCTGCAGCTCAGGACCTGCACCATGCAGAGAGAGAGAGAGAGAGAGAGAGAGAGAGAGAGAGGCAAAAATAAATTCCCCAGTCAGCATTAATTTAGAGCCATTGCCCCCCCCAATGCGTGTCTCACCACTGACAATAGCGGCCAAAAAGTCTGGAATAAATCCTGTTAGGTTGATATTAAATGGCAAGGTTAAAAATGTCTCAGCCATTGCGAAACCGCCCGCCCTTGTTCACAATAATGGTCGCAGATAAAAGCGTAGAGTCTCCGGTAAACTTGCACACACCTGATTTTGAGTGTTGAGATCTCCTGTCATCATTGGTGTTGGCGCGAGGTCTCCTGCCGTGAGGAGAGTGCCAGCCAGAGTTGCCCACCAGGAGCAGGTTGGACCGTGGCGAGTGGCTCCGTCGAGATCTGTAATCCACACCCTCCCCGACCCCAGGGGTCATCGTACTAGTCGGCAATCTCAGGAGATTGCAAGATCCGCCGTGTTCACTGCAGCGTCGAGGCTGGGGGAGGGGCTCCAGTTCCAGTGTCTGGTTCCGCGTGGGGACCCTGGCCGAGCCGGGAACGGAAGACGACTCGAGCGGATGCATCACGTTCTGCGTGAACTCTTCAAAGGATGACTTCATCTTTCTCTTCACAATGGTGTGAATGTACTTGAGTCTCTCTTCGTACCTGCAAGAATCAGAGTGTGTGCAAACATGAGTTAAGACACCGTTGTGTGTGTTGTTCTCACGGCGTGAAGCTGGAATCATGGGGTTTAAAAGGGTATTTAGTGGGAAGACACTCAAGTTCCAGACTTGCCTTCCACGGTAGCCCACCAGGGGGCTTCTCTGGGCTCGCAGGGCATTGATGGCTGTTGCCCTCACGAGAGATGGCAAGCTCTTTCGGTTCACAACTGCCCCATCAAACAGAGGCCCAAATAGGATCTGCATCAGATAAGGCGTCGGCAAGAAAATCATAACAACGCCCGACAGAGGATATGGTTGGGGAAAACAGGAGATAATGAACAACTCACATTCTGTTTCTGCTTTTTGATAAGCTCGATTCTAAAGAGCCCGTTTGGGAGCGGATATATGACAATCAGGATGTCGGCAAACGCTGTTTTGAAAATGGTGGAGCGATAGTCCCTCCAGTGCTGGCTCCACACTACATGTACCTCATCATTGCCCAGATGACGCACCTGCAAGTGGTACATGTACACATCACACGCAATCGTGACATCACAACTAAAATCTGAAACCACAAGAGTCATAGAGTAATAGTGACAGATACCGCTCCACTGGACCTGTAGCTAAGCTGCTGAAGGGTACATGTACCGGTACTACCACACCTCAGCATCTACCCCCTTCAGTGAAACCCATTTCCGGTGCAGGCATTACCCGATACACTTATAGTGGGCTTCAAACCTTCCTCAAAAGGCAAGCAGTACAATAGCTAGCCACCTAACTAGCATTCCAGCAGTGCACATGAGAGGCTATGGTATCTGGCAGGATTCAGTCCTCCCACACTGATCAAATGTCCTCTCTCTCTCACCAATATTCATAGCCAGACCCTCAGGATTATGTAGTAAACATCCCCGCAGGTTGAAGTTTTTCCCCCCTCCTGTGTGTGGGTACCAGAAACAAAGGAGGCCGGTATTTCTCAATCTCTGACTTGTTTCGAGGGCTTGAGTAAAGTAAGTGGTTTGAACAGAGTCGGAACACAGAGCCCTTAGGATGGGGGGTGCTGAAGTACAGCCGGTTTAGCTGTCGAGTATAGAAACCATTAGACTTGGTTATTTGCATTTCTTTGATGGTGTACACACAACACACACAAAAGTGTACACAAACAGACAGGACAACACTCAGTCACTCCTGTGGGGACTAGTTAGGGGCGGCTGCCCGTCGGATTGTTGTGTAGGCTGGCCGACATGCTGCCGCGCGCACTACTCGCCTTATGCTGCCCACTCCATACAGTAACGCTCCTAGAGCCGAACCCCGTCAGTTATTACATGCATGTCTGCCTACAGACACAATAACCTCAACACTTGGACCGCGGCCAGCAAATTCTCTCCCTAGACCTTCGCTCTACGTAATGAACCTCTAGTTCCTGAATAAAAAGGTTAACGAGACTGTATTTGAACCACAGCCACCAAAGCTTCCAGGAACTCTTCCACTATAATTATAATTATTATAGCTAGACACAGAATGGAAATAGTCCAGCTACTTATGCACATCCTCGTGTAGACAAACCAGACTCAAATTAAGCAGTATGCTATACGTGTCTCTCTGCCCAACTCACCAGAAGCTAAATATTCAATTACTGTAAGAGTTCCTAGCAGTCTGCCCAATAAAACATTGACCACAGCGGGATACCCGATATATCGTGCGGAGGTTGCTTAGCCGTGTGTGAGTGTGTGAGATATACACCTTCTGCTCCACATCTGAGCCCTTTGAAGGCATTCTAGTGGAGACATGAAACAGGACCTCCTCCGTGGAGGTGGCATAGTAGGGCAGCGTCGTGTGGGCGCAGAACTCTCTCTTCAGACCTCCCATGTATCCAGCATGTGTCTCCATGTTCACCTGTTGGTGGGGGGGGTGGAAGGAGGGGGGAGGGAGGGGAAGAGAGAAGAGAGAGAAAGGTAAACGTGCTGTTGTGTCCTCGGTTTACCGTAACCTAAATGACATTTTAGACGTGTTTACCACTTGTATCATCGGTCGGTCCACCTGCTGCATAGTTTCCACGACAAATAGCTCCGTATGGGGTATAATACTCTGTGCGTGTAAAGTGTTGTTCTGTGACTAGTGGGGCTACTGTGTACCAAGAGGCAGACGGTGTTCCCCACCAACCAGGCAGCAGGTGGGTTCGACTTTTGGTCAAATCGAGGTAACACGCCACCCAAACAACGCGATCGAATTAAGCATGCACATCGTACAGGAGAGAGAGAGAGGGTGATGCAGCAGTCAGTGTGGGCGGAAGATCCTCTGGCATGTTTGTGCAAACAGTTGTTCATGTGTGTAGCACTTGTCGGTACACGGTCCTCGAGACCTTGTTTTGACTGGAGGAACAGAGGCCCGAAGCCCCGAGGGGAGCGTTTTCTCGCTGAAGAAGGCAAGCGTCGCAAGCAGGACAAAGCTGATAGTCACTCCAGCTCTCCTTTCTGGGCGCTAATCACCAGAAGCCGTGAGTCACTGAATCCGTAGCCATGTCGCGTTGTGTTGGCGAAGAGGGTGCCCGTGGCTGCTGTGCATTCACACCTCAGCAGCTGACACGCTCTCTCAAAACGAGCGTAGGAATGCTCTGATGCAGATCGCCACACCCACTCGCACAGCATTCTAGCCCCGGGGCTGCCCACACAGATGCCATGAGAAACGACATGGGGACAAACAAACACGAGCCCTCGGGTAAGTAGTCCACACCCTTGAGTTGAAGACACAGATCAATTCCTAGTGCTAACCACCAGCTACCATCTCCCACGCTGCTCATCAGTAAACAAGATCCGTCTCAATGAGCTGTGCACTTTAATTGGTAGGGTCTCCCCATATCATGCCACCATAAGTTGCCTGTGATGCACTTCAAAGGCTTGCTTGCATAATGACAGGAATTCAATTACCAATTAACAATGTGCCAGGAAGGAAGTAGAGAGAGATATCATGTAGCGGAGGGGCAGGAGGAAATTCATCACCACTCACCTCAATACTTATTCCTGGTTACGCACGGTTGCTGGCAAGGTGATCATGTCCCCGAGGCATCCAAAACTCGGGATGATGCAATGTAGGACATTTAATAAGGCAATGATTACCCATAGCAGCAAGCTTGAGGGTAGGATTGCAAGCGTTTGTGAGCTGCAGGAGGCCAAACTGCACCGGCGGCACACCCGAGCCCACAGTTTCTTTTGACGGCAAATGCAAACAGCCTGAGTTTCTTTTGTCTGTTGGTAGTGGTAACACACACTCGGCAAGAGTTCCTCCGTGGGTCTCTTTACTACACCAAAGCTTGCTTTGTGCATCATCAGATAATAGGCCCCCCTCTCTAAAATAATCGTTCAACACCAGGTGGATAATTGTACCAAACCGTGTGTGTGTGTGTGTGTGGCAGATGGTGCATAACTCGGCCATGCTTTGACACGTACACACACACACACTATACAGAGGGCCCTCCTCAAATACACACTCACAGACAGACATAAAGAGCGCCCACTCAAAAGCCTGGCCACTTGACTTGGCACAAACAAGCTCGCCATAGGAGAAGGGCACCACCAGTCGAGTGACCCAAAGCCATACCCGCAGCCCACATCAAAGACGCTCGTGAGCGGCTATACTATGCAGACTAATTAGTGAGAGATTCTCAGCGTAGTGTATAGGCACGCAGCATGTGCAGAATTCCTCGGAGCTTGGCTGGGTGGCAGGCAGCGGTGAGCAGCTGAATTACGCCCTGCCGGCCTTACAGGGAATAGTTGCCGCCACCGAGAGGGGGGATAGAACGATTGAGACGGTCTAGAAAGTCGGTCTATGAAACCACGAACAGCCTCGGTGGGTACACGTCACCTATTTTCCTCCATTACAACAGCAAGACTCACAATACGACAACAGACGCGGCTTCCAGTGCGCCATTGATAGGAACCACAAAGGAGGCCAATTAGTGTATTCATCCTCAAAGGAGGTCGCAGCCGATTTGGCGATACCCCCCACCTAGGCCACCAGTCTTTGACAAACACACGCCCCAATTACCCTCTCCGGTTGTTGCACATGCACTGTGGAATGCATACACTGTCTACGCTCTGCATCTCAAGACACCGTGGCCAAATATTGTACATTGTATATTCCGAGATTTATCCAAGATCTACCAAAATGAATGCAGAGTATATACTCGGGGAGTAGGGCCAGTCTGATAATACCCCACGTGATTTGCAAACACGCGTAACAGCCCTGCAAACGTGAACTGGATACGTGGAAATCGTTTCAGACCCAGAAAAACAGGAGACAAGTACACGAAGTAAGGCTACGCAAACAAGGCCACGAGGTCGGGTTCGTTTCCGTGCTACTTCGAACTTGTCAATCATGTGATTATCATGTGACAGAGGTGAACTCACCTCCCAGCCCAGTCCGGCAACAAACTCCTCAAAGTCTCTGCTCCCGCTGCTGTTTCTGAGAATGGAGTGCTTGTCCTCCTGCCCGGGGCCCACATAGAGAACAGCCACCTTGTACGTCATTCGACTGCATGTATCCAAAACGAAAGTGAACCGGATTATAAAATGTACGTGACATAATAGTAATTGGGCCTGCTCTATCCACACGAGCTACAGTCTCTAGTGATAGAGAGAGAGAGAGCGAATGTTTACTTACAGCAGCTATATATTTACCCTGCAGATAGGGATGCTCAGATACAGACATCGTGCAAGTGTGTGTTTGTGTGTGTGTGTTATATCGTTTGTTTGCACATCCCGAGAGAGCTGTGTACATAAATAGGAAACTTAGTACGGACATTACACTCCGTGTGTTTCCAAGCAGGCTAATTGAAAAACAAGAGACCAGGGGGCTCATTTGCATAAATTAAACAGAGAGAGAGAGAGGTACGCACATTGCTAAACATAAACATTAGCTTCCTGAAACAACATTATTATAGCACTTGATATCCTGTGCCACCACAAAGGAACACAAACATTAGAGCTGTGGGTAGAGAGGAGTGTATGTATGTATGCATACTCTGAAGTCATGGGGTTCTATGAGTATAATATGAGACCGTATGTACCTTTGGGCTGGAGTACTGTCTAAATGTCTTAGCTCCAGAATGAGTTGATTGTTTCTCTCCAGCAGGTCCAAATGATCCCTGTAGAGCCAAACTCATGAATAATTCATCACCTCCAATGCTAACCGGCACTCACGAATAATTAACTACACACTGCGCAAATTCATCTACAGTATCAGTGCATGTGTCAGACCGGTCTAATTCATCTCATGAATAATTCATTTCCACGCTGGTTTGAATGCCTCGTTTTCACTACCAGGCTATACTCCAGGTGTCCTCCAGGAAAATGAAAAAACAGTGCACGCTGGCTACCTATGCAGGTGAGAGTGCCCTAGTGGATCACGCCTGGGGACAGAGGTAACATCATACACTTCAGGCATGTGGTTTCCCGTTCAGCCACTTGAAAGTAATTTCGTGCAGGGTGCAATTCCATATCGCTAACTGTAACATCATCACAGGAAGTGCTATATACACTGGTAGTGGCAGTATGTAAGATAGATAGTGTGTCATTGGTTTGAGGTGGTGTGTATGGATTTTTCTGGAGGCAATTCCAACTGCCCAGATACGCCAGGAATTGCATGTTATTGGGTTAAGCCCATGGGAGCAGTTAAGGTCCTATCAAGTTACATAGAGTTGATCAGTTTTGATCGTTTATGGATGATATGCGTGCGCACGTGTAATAGGAGAGCGACGGAATGAGAAGAGAGAGTGGCGGAGAAAGAGAGGAAGAGAGAGGAGGAAGAGAGAGGGAGGTTGTACGTACCTGCGACTGGCAGAGAACATTCCGAGGTGGCTCAGCAGGAGCCGACAGTGGTGGTAGGCAAACTCGACAGAGATGTGAGTCGGAGCTTTCTCCCTCTCCCCACACACACTGCAGTCAGTAGAACAAGTACGTATTGTACTAGTAGTATTTGGTAGCATCGCCAGCTACTCTACCAGAGTGGGCATGGAATATAGTATAGCAGAGTGTGTACGGTATAGAGAGAGGATCACACTTCAAAATACCCACTTTACACACACACACACACACACACACACACATCAAACCGAGGTTGCTACTCCAGCTGTGCACACCGCCTCACACAGTTCAAGTATGCAGAATTCCATTTCAATGAGTGCTTGTAACACGAAGTATTATTGACTATAAACAGCTAAGTATCCGTCAGACTCTCTCTAACAGGGAGGGAACCTCTGGTAAATTACCGGAATCCTCACTGTCCAAAACTTCAAAAGAGCGCTGCATATCGCGTTACGGCCTCAAAAAAACTCACCACCAACACTCGTTCCTTATGAGGGAAGAGGCACGCACAACAGGCAAACAAGATTTCGTGTGGTTGGGGGGTTGTGGAATGCACGGCTGTAATCGAGACAGCGTAACGTTCGGCCCTTAGATCGTCGTCTTTGTGGCATTCAGCTTTTGGCATGCACGAAAAACAGCGATGCAAGGCCCCCTGGTTGGATGGGTTCACACAGGACGCGAGTCAGATTCATCTGCCCGCACAATGTGACGGGCATCCTTTTATCTGGACGTCAGTTCCAACCGCCACTCCAAGTGGCATATGGTGTCCCATAGCTAAGACACTAACGGAGCTATAGTCACAGTTCTCACAGCAGTCCATGCCTTACTGCAGTCATTATAGGGCTGGGTTCGACGCACAGCAATAGATCCCCCGTGCAAAGGGTAAAGGGATTCAGTACTCGTGTGATGAGGAAGAAGTGATGGAAAGAGGAAAGGCAGGCATAGGCAGCCTTGGGCAATCGCAAATCAAATAACGATGGTCATGCATGCAAACAAATAAGGAGAAACAGGTCGATGTTTACTATTCGATGTTTTGAGTATTTTGCTGGCATATAGTACATATGTATAATACACCTCAAAAAGGGTGGAGTAGTAAAACAAAAGGTTTCTACTACTCCTACATACATACATACATGTATGAGGTAGACACACGTTCTCAGAAAGGCTCCACCTGCGCAGGTGCTCTAATTAACACAGACTCCATTCTCACACACCCGGCCTCGCCGAGTGCCCGGGAGATATGAACGGAATTACAATCAAAGGGTCAGCCACTGAAAAGCGGGCCTTTAAACCCGGCTCTCCTTCTGGCTACTTTCCGGACTCTAAACAGCTTGTCTGAGCCTACGTAAGAAGAACGGGCCTTTGCACGCGCACAAAGGCTAGCCAAAGCCGGCATTCAAAGAGGTAATTGCATCACATGAGACCATATAACAACCCCCCTGTTGGCAAGGCTCCGTAAACCTATCAGACTTGCGTCTCCGCTGCCTCTGGGCTCCACGCCGACCGATACCCGGCCGTGGAATGACCGGAATTCAGAGATCCCCGAAACTCCTGCCCCCCCCTAACCCCACCCACGTCACACCGCACACCACAACCCCTCCCGAGGTGCAGCATTCTGATGCCTAGTGCTTCAATTAGGTGAGAATTTAGCGCACTTTTGTCAGGGTGACCAGATCCTATACAGCGGGCAGACCTGGTGATGAAGGAGTGAATTCCTCGGTGTAGCAAAGGGTACCGACAGCCATGCAAATGTGTGTGTTAGGTTAGCGAGGAGCACCGGCAGAGACGTGCAGAAGAGGCTTTAGGTGCTCCCAATAAGGCAGCGGCCTCAAGCCAGTGAAGGCGGATTGGGTTACCCACACTCTAGTAGTGGTGGATTCCATGCTCGGCAGGTAACAGCAGCACATTCAGGGCAGACCCTGGTAATTAGACGCTCGTATCGTTTACGAGAATGACCATGCAGCTGGTGGGTAGGGTGTCTCCGTCTTCAATACATAGGAAATCTCCAACTGTATTGTCGAGAAGCCCCTTATCACGCAGAGTTATTATTTTTACCCACTCACATTATTCCACTGTGTTGTGCATACACACATGCATACATACACACAAAACACACACGTTCAACTCTTACCAGTGCTAATGTTGTTGGTACATACACACACACACACAATTCCTCACCTCGCTAGTCGAGATATGCCCTGTGAATACTCTGCCTCCGAGGCCTGCTGGCTCTGAACAGCAGCCACCATCTTTCCCTCCAGGGTCCTGGTTGTCTTGCTGGCAACAGGAGCTGGTTCAGCCAGCCCCGCAACCCCTGGATAGAGCACGCACTCAGGACTAGTCCGCTCTATGTGTCTCAGCAACTGTCAGTGGAGAAGTCAGAGTCAGGAAGGGGGGGAGGATCTTGAGTTAGAGTTTAGGGGTTCGCTGTAAAAACTGTGAGCCTGTGAAACTATTCCCAGCACCCAAAAGTATGAAAAAGAGAAGAGGCACAAGTAGAGGCAGCCATATGTCTCCAGGCCAGACAAACTACCAATCACCACTAGCTCCAGTCACCATACTATCTCTCTTCCTGTCCCCAAAGCCATATCTCCTCTGGGAACCAGTTCAACACCTACTCATGGGACCTGCCATGCAGATAGAGACCCATCTGCGAGACAATAGGCACTACCCAAGGTCAGATCAATTCTCCAGTCACACTTGCACCACATCCTCTCAACCAACACACATCAGAAGCTGCAACCCACCAGCCCACATTCCAAATCTCCTCTCTCCGAACTCTCTCTCTTTCTCAGAGTGAGTAAGGCAGGGCCAAGCCCTAGAAAAGCATGGGAACATTGCCTTTGAAAAACATGGCCCTGTCAAGACCAATGAAAAACATAAAGCCCCTCTGAAAACAGGTGTACTGAGGCTTGCTTTTTGGGTAAATCACAATGTCTGTTCTCAGTGAGCTAGACTAGATGACAGTTTGATGTGGGGTCTGTGGGGAGGGCCTCGTGGACTACAAGACAGACTGCAGTGAATTACTGCAGAACACACATCAAAAGGGACTCCACTCACGTCTTCCAGGGTGTCTCGGTCAGTGTTGGCGTGCGTCTCCCAGGAGGGTGGCTGCAGAGGATCCTCACTGTAAGGGGGGACCGGGTCCACGGAGGACGAGGCCACGCCTCCTACTCCACCCACTTCCAGACTGGCAGACTCGGCGGTGGTTGCAGAAGTGGCAGAGATCGACTCTTCACTGTCTCCTGCCGTGATCACTTGAGGAATTCCATCTGCAGTGGGGTGTGGGGTGGGTGGAAGTGGGTGATGTGTTTGTATGTTTGCGTGCCCTATCTCATGTTTGCATACAAAAAGGTCCCTCTACACGCTGCCTGAAACAATGCATAGGTCTCCCTGGGCAGCTCTGGTTACCACTCTGAGTGTTGAGACTGAGCTGTTATGCCTGGAACAACAAACACTGTCCCACACTAGGCAATAGGTTAAGAGATACACATGAGAGGGGGAGTTGAGGGGAAAAGAGTGGGTGGCCTTCTATGTTAGGCCCTACCAGGTCTCCTTTTGGAGACCTACTCCGTGTTGAAGAGCCATAGAGTGGTGAGGGATTATACCTGCATATGTTTACAGTCAAGGGCCAAGCAGCCAAAACACCCGAGCAGCATAAGGCAGCAAGCCCTAGGACCCACTCTAGTTAAGAGTGACCAGGTTTCCAGGAGGGTTCGTTGCCTTAATTGGCAGGGTTCTCCCCTTGTCACACAGGGACACCCACGAACACCTGCGCAAGGAAGTCCTTGAACTAGTGATATGAGTCTGCGAGTTAGGGATTAGGGATGTTGGGCCCAGTTTCAGTGCAAATGGTGGGAGGTAGAGAGAGAAGGAAGCATGAGAGTTGTTTGCACACAAACACAGAATCTTGCAAGCAAACCCTGATGTTGTCAGAAAGTGACACATGATCTCTTGGTCTAGGAAAGTGGCAGAAAAATATATCATACCGTGCCTAAACATTTGGATACCTCTCTCTCTCTCTCTCTCAATCAGACAGTTGCTATGTTAATATGAACGTCAACTCGCGGAGATTGACAAAGTGGTTCAGGCCATTAGCAAAGGCATTCCACTTCCTTACTCCATTACCCGAAACTCCTTTAATAATTACACCCATAGGAAACACACGGAAAACAGACGCGCTACATCTCGGTGTGTAGACAGAACGACGAGTTTGCATTCTTTATACAGACTCGCGAAACTCCAGAGACGGATTATGTAATGGCTTCATCGGAGTGTGTTTCTTAGTTACACACTAATTTAGCTGTCAAAAAACCTGAAAGTATGTAGTAAAGTGTGTACAGGTCGATTGAGAGTTCCTACGGCCAACCGGGCTGCAGGGGGTGTCTGCTGAGATCAAGGTCGTCCCACTCCCTCCGAGATTGCCAATGTGGTGGGTGGCTTACGCGACAAACACTCTCTATAGGAAGGCCCTGGGAAGATGGCTGGCTCCTCAACGTGCATTCCAGCCAACCAGACGAGACTGCACTGCGTAATCCTCAAACCAGAGCCTACAGATTCAGTACTGACTCCCTATGGTACATTTTTGACGACCATGTCATGCCCACTACTCTCACTTCCCCACAGAAGTTGGTGAGCATGCAAGAGCTAGCAGGGATAGCATCCACAGGAGAAGAACTGTAAAATACCCTCCTTCTCTCTCCCCCCCCTCATTTCTAGGACGAGGGTGGCACCCTTCGGGAATGCAAACACTGGCATCTCAGACGTGCCGCAAACATGGCCAGATCACGTATTTGCTGTTATCACAGGGAGATTGGGGAAGACCCACGGCAAGATCAGGAGGGATAATAGAGGGAAGGAGGCCAAGCTATTACTCAAGTTGTCCAGGGAGGGCCTCGGTGTACGGCCAGCATTACGGTTTATGTGTGAGAGAAAAAGCCGACGGTATTCCGGCCAGCCTATCTAGAGAGGAGGGTGGCGTTGGCAAGTTGGCAAACAGAGACCCTTTAGAGAGCCCCGAGCTGCTTTGAAGGAGTCGCTGGTGAATAAGAGCCCTCTGAAGAGCTGCTCTAATTCACGTTTACAAACACTGGCCTCATGACAACAATGCACTCTCTCTATGATCCTGAGGGTCTGATGTAAGAAGAGAGAGTGTGTGTGTGTGTGATGGTGTAATGGAAGGGTTCGTAATGCAAGGGTTCGCAATGCAAGGAGGGAGAAAGGGGTTAAAGAGAACTTAGACTGGGAGTCACTTGAAGGATTGAGCGGATACAGGTGGTTGAACATTGAGAATGTGAGTCACTGGCTAGCAATTTGCATGTGTAAATTATATACATATACACACGCATGATGGAGTCTAGACCTCCAATGCATCAAATATCCTGATTTGGTACGCATGCTAAGCCATGTATGCACATCAAAGAAGGTGATAAATGCTCAAATCAGTAAGCTAAGGACAAATGCTTGCTTCAAAGGTAGTAATAAACAGCACCACACAAATCCTGATTTGGTTATAACCAAGACCTGTGCAGCCTCAACTGATAGTGGGATCATATACAGCACTAGGTGTGGGCGGAAAAACCTGCAGAATGCTGTAAATTACACCCCTGTGTAAGAGAGGAGATAAGGTCTTCCTGGCGAGGAATGGATTGGTATTGTGGCCAGTTTTGACACACATTGATTGGAGCTACTATAATACCCAGTAACTGCTGTCCATTGGCAGATCAGTAGATTATCCTCTGAGCTGTGAGCCAGGAATCCTTACAGCTAGCCATTCACAAACCTCCCCTCTCTCCCTCTTTTGCTATATATACTGACACAGACAAAAGCTGACCTGGGCAAGGGAACATCTGGGGGCCGTAGAGCATGGCACAGTCCCAGCAGTACTTCCCAGTCACATCTCTGACGATGATTCTGGTCTGGAACTTTGCAGGTTCCACTGTCGGAGGAAGACCTGTGTGCTGAGGAGGGAAAGGTTATGGGAGGAAGGAGAGAGGGGGAGAAAACAAGAGGGATATGATAGATAGGAAGAGAAATATGCTGTGAAATGCATTTCTGTGGTGCCCCGAGAAATGGCGTGAAAACTGAGCTGCTAGGGAAGCCAGGGGACGGGGTGTTGCAGCCTTACCGCCTGGGAACGTAGAAGACCACTCGGTGCGGGACATGACTGGGCGAGTTAGCCTGCCCAGTCAGCCTAACCAACTCCAGCCACCACTGGTCGTATACCGCGTGTGCACATGCGCTGCTTCTCCCCCCACTTGCACACACGACTGCCAGCCTCTGAGACCACGGTCGCTCAAAGCAACCACAGGCGAAAAGGCACCCAACCACCCAGTGAGTGTCTCAATTTGGAGCTGAAACACTAGACGCAGCCACAACACTATGTCGCATACTCCCAGGGGCTGCAATATTCCGTTTCCCTGTAGTACGCAACTCCTCGCTCACAAACGGTAATCTTTCACAAAGGGAATCGATTGTTTGTGCGTAGTACGCACCGCCGCGCAATTTCGCACAGAAAGCGAGGAATGGTGTAAGTGTTTGCCACCATCGATAATCTTCTACAAAGCATACAGTTCGTGCCATTCGCCAGCAATAGGGGTCTAGGGTTACCAGGACACTGCAGTGGCCCTCGGGTTGGGTGACTGCCTAGCAAACACACGAGACGGCTCAGACTAGAGCTGGACGTGACAATTCGTTGCGTTCACAGGCTCGCTCCCCTAGACTCCCACTTTCAGAGTCCAGCAGCACTGCCAGTAGAGCGAGGACAGGGAAAGGTAGCGGACACCATCTCCGGTTACCATTGACTGGAACAAGAGAGTCAGCCGAGACAGTGTCGAAGTGAAAGGGATAGCGACAAGAGTTGCTCATCCATTCATTGCGCCTCACCTCTCGACAAACACCATCACTCGACCGGAACACCACTGAACACGGCGCCAGCTCCCCAAATCTAATTCTAGAATCTCCAAAATGTAATTACGACAGTGGAGTGACTGTGCCACTCTATTTTCAATTGACAGGCTCCCCAATCTATTGAGTCATTACACAACTCCTTCTGCCTTTCAATCAAAGAAGCGTCAATAGAACAAGAGGCAGAACTACTGCTCACTGATGACGTTCTTAATCACGTCTTTAGTAACACATGTTTCAGCATGCGTACTTTTGCTTCAAACTATAAACGCATTTTTTGAATGGCGTCTTTCTCCATCATAGTTTGTATATCACTAAGTACGGTAGTACTTAGTATATAGGGATGACACAGGTTGTCCTGCATTATGCCCATACATTTGAGATTTTCATGTTTCACTTTTATATACATATGTATGTGTCTGTGGCACACAGAGAGTGGTTGTGAAGCTCACCTCAATAGGGATCTCTACCAGTGTCACTACTGCCGTCTCGTTCAAAGAGAACACCTGCAGAATACGGTGAAACAGGGGAAGACGTAGAGGGGGGTGGGGTTTGGTTAGTAAAATGAGAGTATTTGTGAAATTAACAGTATCAGGGAATTCCCCTGCATAAATACTCATTATAGATGGAGTTGAATGCAAAAATTGAGGAAGTAAAGGTTATGACGACAGATAGCGTTGTAATGGTCTAGAAGATTCTCTGTAAGTTTTCAAAAACACCCCCTACATACCTCCAGGCTGCACCAAAAGGATGCCAGCAGTAACCATGCAGCCCTACTGTTCCTCCCTGTGACACTCCCACTTTCACTTTGCCACTTTATATTGTACACCCGACTTCTTGAAACTTGTATACACACCTTTCTTTCTTCTTTCTTCATACCGGGGGAACTCCTACCCATGTTTGTCCCACCCATTGCTGGGGACACAGCGATGAACCACGACCGTACACTCGGATGCTAACGATGCCGAATGTGTACACTGCCACTTCGACAGTGTAAATATTGCAGCGGAGATTTTCCTGAGCATGACCCCACGTGCTGGGCACCGGGGAAAACATTGAAACGTGCAGCGTTGCACTGAGGTCAAACAGACGTCTTTTCATTTTCCACTTCGTTGGCTTCTGTCGCACCCCCTTCGGACAAAATTCACAATCAGAATGCATTCTAATTACACGTGGAGCCGTGTGGAAGAAATGATATTTTAGAACGAGGAGGAAGAGCACAGTGTTTGGTGTGATATTTTAGAATGAGGAGACGAGGAAATAAGAGCAATGCTTATATATTATACACACCTGAACGCGAGGAGAGTCGAAAATCTCAGTTGAGAGGTCGTCAAGGTGTTTGAGAGAGGGTGAGTCATGGAACTCACTCACCACCGAGGTCATCTGGGCCGGGCCTCCTCCCAGTGGGAAATGACCCATTAGGTTGACCAGGTGGGCCAGCACCTGTGATGGGGAGGGGGGGAAGAATGAGGAGAGGGGAGGGAGAGATAGAGATGAACCGCTTATAATGAACACTCCAAATACAGGTCAATAGTGGATACTAGTTAGCTTGTTCAGTTGTTAGTTGTAACTGTGTCCTCTGAATATAGGTACCTCTGTATTTGACTGCCCCAATGTGCTCTTTGTAATCAGCGGAAGCAACAGAGGAATGCTAAATGGCCCGACGTAAAAGGAGGCATTATGAGTAGCTCGAGGTTGGCACAGGGAAATCAGTCAACAAAAGGAGACTTCTTCCTCTGAAGTGGTGAGCTAACCCATGTCGAACGGGCCAGTCCAGTAGGCGCCGCATCCAACTGCCCACAAACCAGCTTACTTTGTGGGCAAATGCAATTCCTAGCGACCAATCCTATAGACCACCGCACTAAATTGGTTAAGTGGCTTAACCTCTTCCTATCCCAGCTTTATGACATCACCGATCAGTGATATAACAACGTTGCTGCCAATAAAATATTTGCTGCGTCATAGTTGCGTAACCTTAAGCAACAGGGGGGGTTGTCACACATGGCCGACAATATCGCTCGCACGCATTGAATACAAAAACTCGATGGGAAAAAATTTCTTTTCAGTCACAAACAACCTGAAAGGGGCGCCACCCGGCAACTGTAGCAGAAGAAATTAAAGCTGAGCCCTATACTAAACACAAATAATTCTCGGAAGAAGCGAAATAGAAGGTTTGGTCTTGGTCTGAATGAATGGATGGTTGAACATCAATATTTATATGTCCGCAGTCGAAATGACAACACTCCAATCTTGTATGGCAAGAAGCCAGCGCGGGCACACATTAAGGAGGTTAAGCAATAATAGTGGAGAGTAAGATCAAACGAGGGACCACAGATGTTAACATACACACACCCACACCATTAGGCCTTTATCCGCGGTAAATATGGCCTTTCTCCAGTGAATTACACCGAGCCTCGTTTCCCTCGGTTCACGTAATAAAGTTATACACAGGAATTCATTGAACGACGTCACCAGCAGTGCACAGGGCACAGTTTTGGCAAGAGAGCCGGCGCTGTGCGGTGCAAGTACAACACAACGTGGTGGGACACAGAAAGCTGTTCCGCTATCTATCACCGATTTGCTTACTGGACATTTCGGGAAGTGTTTTTCAAAGAGGAATAAGTCTTATCAATTTTTCCCCTTAACACAGATGTTGGGACACTGCGTATTTGTAGTTTGCTAGAGTCAAAACTGAAACTTGATAGCAGGGCCGAGTATGGATAGTACCACTGCCGCTTTAGAATTTGGAGATAAGGTGAATGGTAAAAAGAAGAGGGGGGGAGGGGGATGAGATGGGAAATCAGGGAGAAGGAGGAGGAGATAAGGTGAATGGTAAAAAGAAGAGGGGGGGAGGGGGGAGGGGGGTGAGAGGGAAGAAATAGGAGGCAGAGAGAGAACTCACTGATCTTGCAGCGACTTGCATTCTATCCTCGTCTTCTCGGCTGAACGGTCGGTGGTGAGCCCCGGAGGCTGCTGTGTGTGGCAGGGCGCTGGGACCTGGGGAGGGAGGGGAGAGGAGGGGGAGGAGGAGGCATCAGAAAAATGATGACAAGATTGTGAAACACTATCGCCAAAAGCCTGCAACCCAAGACCGGGGTTCCAGCCACAGGAGAACACCCTGGAATGCGTGAGAGTTGCAAAATTCTCGGGGCAGATGCGCGCAAACAACAGCACTCGCAATTAAGACAGGCTTGCTAGGTCGTTGCTTTGTTTGCAGACAGCAGGTGATAGCTGGGATGTCGGTTCCAACCGACAGCTTGTTTTCTCTCCAAATAGGATGTTAGTCATAGCTACAACCACAAGCAGCCCCATTCCCTTTATTCAAGACATATAACACCCCAATCAAAAGCGGGCGGTCCACACACACCCGGCGGCAAACAATTGTGCAACGAGACACAACCGAAGTGAAATCTGGCAGTGTGCATCGAAAGCCGCATTGCAGGGCTATTGATTAGTTGTGAACAGAGAACTAGTTTCCTGATCCGAAGTCGCTACAGGAGAGGAAATAAGCCTGGAAAGGCTATCAGCCAGAAGAAGATGAAAGAGAGGGGAGGGGAGGGGAGGGGATGAGGAAGTCGTCGGAGTGAAAGCGCGAGTCCGTCACATTTCGCTGCCTGCGACAAACACCTGAGAGCATGTGGAGCTATTTGTCTGCAGTGAGCGGGGAGCCCATCACAGCAGCTGTCAGCTGGCTTCTCCCTCCCCTCCTCATAGGAAATGATATGGCTGCCCCGTATTCCTGTGGTCACCGAAGAATGCTTTGATGAGGTTTACACTAGCTCAATTCTCCCAAGAATGGGATGCAGATAATATACCTCTGGTACCACCCACAGTCCTTTAGTACACCCATTCCGGGTAACATCAGACCGTAGTACACGTAATGCTATCCGAAACATTTATGAATTATGCATGACAGGTGGCCTCCTATTGCCTTACCATGGACCCATTTGAAGCTGGTAATGAAGTAAGTAATAGGAATGTGATGGAAGTACGGGGAGTTTATCTCGAAGGGAGGTCTCCTCCTCACAATGGATATCAAAAGAAGGTCCGTGCTCTGTGGATGTCGCACGGTGGCCAAGCGCCAACTGTATCAATTGAGGGCCAGTCACCAATTTTTCAAAGGACAACCTCTTGTGCTAGTCTGTGTCTTTGTCTGACGTACAGGCTACTGCTGGGCACTCCCTGACGCTGCAGGGATGCCGAGGCCAACGAAAACAAGACATCGGACACATCTCGGATGTCCTTCGCGGGTAGTGATTTGAGGCTTTGACCTGCGATCAGTAGAACATACAATCCTAACTGTAGTTACACCTACTAGCCCCCACCTTGTTCCCCTCTCCTTCTCCCCTCCCCTCCTCCTTCCCTTCATCGTCTGCCCCTTTCCCTCCACCTCTACTTCTTCCTCTTTCCTCCCTCTCCCATTTCCCTCCACCTCTCCTTCTTCCTCATCTCCTCCTCGTCCTACACCACCTTAGAGGTGTGCAAGCCATATACACCCGGCCCCTAGTCCCCCTGCCTGTCTACGTTTCCTGTCCCATAAGGCTACTGTGGCCTCCTTCTCTGAAGCCCCCAACCCACTTCAAACGGTCACTACTAGCTCACAGTCTCACCCACAAGACCCAATAACAATGCAGAGAGAGGTAGTTCAAATATACATATAGAATGTTCCGGACCATAGTCAGAGGTCTGAAGGGGAAGCTCTATTACCTGTAGATTAGGTGCCCAGTAGGAAAACCCACTCTCTATACCAACCAAACAGGAAATATTTCTTGTTTAATGCAAAGCAATAGTAGGTAGACCGATAAACAGTAAGAAAAAGGGAACTGTAGCTGCGTTAAAATCTCTCCTCGCCCTACCTTACCACTACATTGTTACTGCTCCCTTCACACCGGACCATTTATGCCAAACGATGCAACCCTCCTCATTTGCATCCTGCCACTATACAGACTCTCACTTCAGAGTGCCGCCAAAATCCCCTTCCCTCTCAATAAACGCCTGTTTACAGGTGATTCTGCCTGCGAGTCACTTGAAGGTCATAATCAATTAACGTGTATACAAATACAGGCAAAGCCCCTTGTTTAGTAGTTCTCCTGACCAAGTGACTGTCGTTTCCAATTTGGCCACGAATCAGAACAACGGACTTACCCCTCATTGAGAATCAACAAACACTATAGTAATTACGACGTATGCATAACCTTCGGTGGGTAGAGCGCAAGAGCAGAGTGTCCTGGGTTAATCCCAGCTCAAACATGTCTAGTTTAAATGTATTGGTGCTCCCGTGATACATACCTTTTCCTGGTGGTGGTTGTCTGGGTCCCCGTGCGGTACGGCCTGGGGACGTGTTGTGGGTGGTGAAACTATCGAGAGGGTCCAGCTGGACTGCAGTCTGGGTCGCTATGGAGTCTGGAGCTAGCTGTGCCTCCCGACAACTCGTGGCAGCTGCCTGGAGGACCTGGAGGCGGTGGGAGAGAGAAAGAGACTTTAAACAAGAGTTACATACGTAAATCCACATATATAGGTGCTCGTAAATATGCGGCACTAATTGAAAGCATGACATAATTGCGAAATGGGCATTTATGTTCCTAAAGGTGACCTCACAGCTAGCGTGTGTATGTGAAAGAATAAGGCTACCCTCAATAGTTCCTTCAACATTCACATACTCATCACACAAGGTGTTCCTTTAAAGAGGGAAAAGTGACACATTTCCCACCGTTCAGAGCCCAAGTTAGGAACACAAGTAGGCAGACAATCATCCTTGTGTTGGGACTCACAAATTGTATTTCCCTAACGTCCAGCCCCCTTCTGATGAGAAGAGACACACTGTGCACATGAAGTCAGACTCGGCCAGTTGACTCATGTGAAGATGAGCGATTTTGAAAAACGAGTGGTAGTGAGTTGGGCCAACAGATGGCGGAAGAATTGTGTGAGTAGGTCCATGGAGGAGCTGGCGAGCTTCTCCGTGTATTGCAACAGTGTCTTGTAGGGGCAGAGTGGGCGGGGTAAAGAGGGAGGACTTAACTGAGTGTTCAAACAGCTCATTAGCATGGGGGAGCAAGGAAAGGAGAAATTGGCAAGTGGACCCCCGACGATCGAAGGAGGCCGGGGGTAGAGGGGGCGGTAAATGCCGTGGAAGCTCGCTACCCCACTCTAGATGGGGGCTGAGCAAATCAGGGGTATTGACTGGCTCGTTAAACCCACCAGCAACATACGCTCACACGCAGAATGAAATCAGGCTAAGTATGGTCGGCGTGGTATGTGACCAGTGACTGTGTGAGTCCGGGGAGCGAGCGATTGTCTGTTTTGTGTGCGGTGGGATTAATGACCCCCCAGTGTATGGCTTGGAAACACTGCCAATAGGGCCATTGGAGGCTCAGAGGGAAGCTAACAAGCCGAGGAATGAAGACTTTGAGTGGGATCAAAGGCGGTGGGCTTAAGTGGTGGATGAGCAAGACGCCCTGCCCTGCGACGCAGCTCGGTGCCTTGGCAGGGGTCTCATGTTGTCTGGAACTTGGGGAAACAGGGACCAGTGGAGGGCTCAGTCACAAACAGGCTCTCACTCAATCTCACGCCATCGTTGAGACGTACGTGTGGTATGGCGGTGAGCAAAATTGATTTTCAGCTGATGCATTGGCACTCGAGGCTTGTGACCATGTTGATCATAAATTGGTGGGCGGATGGTGGACTGTTGATAATACACACACACACACACACACACACACGCGTAATGTGTATTACATCATCCAATGATAAGCCACTTGTACGATCGTGTTTTTGGAAATTGTGTGTAATTAAACCGGGCGGAGTGTCTTAACCACTCATTCTTACATTGTAACTCAGTACAATCGGCCTTAATTGTGTATTGCAAGTGTGCACTAAAGCTGTATGGTAGGTGATGGGAGCGTTAATTTACCATCCAACAACACAGCACTGATAGAAAACTGAAAGTTAATGGTACGCTGTATAAACCTTGAAGGCTTCCCGGAGTATTGAGGGATGGAGGTGAGGTCCACGGAGCATGGTGTCCAGTGGGAGGACCATACACCAGTCCCTCAGACACAGCAACAGACTCACCACCACCTACAGGAGAAGGGGGAGGGAGGAAGGAAGAGGGGGGAGATGAGGGGAAATTGCAGGTCCCAGCATTCTAATGCATTGCAAGGAGAAGCACCTCTTCAAGGCATTTTTTGGATTCCTACAACCACATCAAGGGGGAAAGGACAGGTGATTATCGGTTGGGGTCAAAGTAGAAAACCCAACAGTCATGCACCACCATCACTTACACCTTCTTCCCACTCTCTACTCTCCTTCTCTCCCTCTCTTTCCTCTCCTACCCTCTCCACAGTACCTTTGTGCCCCAGGCTGCCTTCTTCAGCTCCGGGTGTGTCATGAACTGTGCAAGAGAGAAGCACATTGACTGGAGAACTCTAGCAGGCATGGAGGGGAGGGAGGCGTTCATCTGAGGAGCCACCTCGGCCAGGAGAGTCAGCATGTCCACTGCCGTCATTGCCACCGAACGCTCTGGGAACTGACGGCAAACAGACGGACAGTGGTATAGAGAAAGAGGGGGCAGATGAAATAGAGTGAGAAAAAGAGGAAGACAGAGAAATCACACTACATGCTGTGCGCGATCATCATCTTTGACTGTATCGTCTAGTTATTTATCTGTTTGTAAATCGCTATATTTTCGTGTTTGTGGAGCAAATAAGCTTACTAGAGCAAAATAGTAAAGTAGTCGAGGGGAGCAAAGAGGGTGAGAGGTTTGTACCCTGAGGGAAGCCAGTAGAATATCGACAGCTTCTTGGATTCGAGTGGAAGGTGAGCCGGCAAAGAGTTCAGAAAACACCATCATTCCAATGAGGTACAGAGCCAAACACCTACAGAGTGAGGGAGGAGGAAGAGAGAGAGAGAGAGAGAGAGGAGGGAATTAGAGGCAGAGCCAAGGTGTGGGAGTGGAGGCCCACGTCTGTCTGTCGTGCCCATCCAAGTGAGTGAATCACTGACCGGGTGTTCTTGGTCGGTTCGTTCGGGCGGCGGTGATGAGTGCCGAGACGAGACTATCCCTCAGAGAAGGCGAGAGACGAGGCAGGAACAACATGGACCCCAGTAGCTGCAGACACTCACTGCGAGGAACCTGCACAACAGAACTCTAATTTCTCTCCTTTCCCTTCTCTTTACTCACGTCGGAGGGTCGGCCGGGGTAGGCGAGGACAGCGGAGCAGGCTGTGATACAGTCAGCCATTAGAACGCCAGCTCCAGGCAGGCCATAGGAGAACAGCTTGCTGCAGTACCTCACAGCCACATACATAGTGTCCTGTACAGTACAAACAAGAGTTTCTTTCAGACGTTTCTTTAAGGGGAAAATTTTTCGCACAATTAACTCCACTAACATTAAAACCAGATTTTGCAAAGCTTATCAGAAGAGCGGTACTCACCGAGGAAGGTTGGAGGGCCCTCTGGAGGAGGTGGTAGAAGATTGCCAGCTGCTCCTGGGGCTGCGGCGTGCGCACGTGACGGATGTTCATTTCACAGAGGAGCTGAATGGCAACCGCTCGACCGGGGAGATACTCAGGTGGCAGGGTGCAGGCTTTCAGGACCCAGGGAAGAAAGAAATCGAGAGGAGGGAGATATGGAGGAAGAGGAGGTGTGGTTTGGTTGTCGGTGGAAACACCAAGGTTGGCATCCAGCTAGCAAGAGAGAGAGGGACAGTGACAAGAGAAATAAGGAGAGAGAGAGAGAGAGGAGGGAGGGGAGAAAGGAGAGATGGTAATTGGTGGTTGGCAAGGTGTGCTGCAGACAAAAGCACGTGTGCCTGTGAGCGTGTTGGCCACAACAAGAGCCAATGAGGCCGTGATGGCTGCGTCCGTGATCGCTGATTAAGTCGGCGAAATTAAATGCGTAACGACTTGAGTACGCTGCCCAAAAAGGTCAACAACGGCGCCGATGAAACTTTGAAAACTGGCAGACGATGAGGAATGATAATATGCTGCTTCCTGTTCGCATAATCGCCCGACAGAGAAATTAACACACCACACACGATGCGGCGGGGGTTCAAGAGTGGTGGGCTTGTGAGTAAACAATAACTATCGTCTGAGAAGCTCTTCCTCTTTTCCCTGCATGACATCTTACTAGGTGGCATAAGGAAGAAGTGTCCTTTAGATACCGTGAATTGTGTTTGCTTTTGTATTCATTACGTCGATCTACAATCTTTCCCTCCTCTCCCTCCTTACCTCCACTAAATGTCTCCAGACAGACAGGAGGGTGTCGAAGGCCAGAAGGTGCATGTCGGTGTCGGGGATCTTGTTGATGTCTCCGAGAATCTTCACGATTCTCTGCCACACCACCGCTCCTCCCACAGGTGTCCACCCACCCTGTACACACACACACACACACACACACACACGTGTTATGTAACATACTGGTTTCGATGCAGGGTGTATACACTAAACAAAATCATCAATATTACAGGCATTTCAGACAGTAATGCAAACATGCATGTTGAGCTGCAACACAAACTGACGCAGAAATATTTTTGTGTGTATAATGTTTTTTTGCAAAATTGTCCAAATATTGTCCGTTGCATAAAGTAGACACACAATTCACAGACTGATTTTCATGAAACCTAACATCCATTTGCAGCCATTTGCCAGCACCAACGGTCACATGTGCAGTGCAGCGAACCCGTTACACCTACAACACACTAAAACCACAAGCCTCCACCGAGTCATGCATGCAGGTGTCCAAGGTAGCCTGTATCCCCCATCATAAAATGATGCAGCTGCCTGTACGCACCCACTTAGGAATTTGCATGCTGCACGTGTGTACGACTGACTCCAGACCCCACGAGGTCACACTGGTGCAGGAGGAAGCGTCCCCCCCCAGGTTTAACGAACCACGCATGACTTCCTGTTTGTTCCGCTAATGGAATTAATCCTTGGCCATCCCATGACTTGAAAGTCACGCTATCAATGAGGAGAGGTATTTTGAGGAAGCTCTCAGGAAGCTGGGTGAAGCCCCTTTCATCACAAGGAAAGCACTTACTTACTGGTTCCAAAGCCCACGTCTGCCTGTAACAAGTGACCTCAATACATGCTAATACCTGATGTACATAGGTAACTATGTGAGGTAGAAATGATTGCAAAAGGCTTCAGGTTATCGGAGCATGCAGGAAGGAAAACTTAACGGCTGAAGTGAAATGCGGATTCCGACCGAGGGCGGAACTCTCTGGAATGGGCATGAGTGGGCAGGGCAAATGCGGAGGAATTGAAGCATTGTGCAAGAGGCGACTAAACCAACCCTAGACCTGTATCGGATACTGTGACATTGAACATGTGCAGAAGCGAAACTCACATCAAGTGTTTCAACTTAATGCCTGCAGTTGCTCGCTGCAAAAGTGCTGGGGTTGTTCATGTATCTACACTAGTCTCCTATGTCTCCACTTGCATAATAATTATGGTACTGTACCTGCGTGTGAGGAGGGGAGGAGGGGGAGAGGAGATTTGGGGGAGTGGGGGTTCGCTGATTCAGACTGGAAGGGGTCAGAACTTCCCCCGACCCCTCCAATCTTGACCCCTTATTACTGGTCCCTTCGCCACCTTCGACCTCATTCGCAGTTCCACCCACTCCCCTGCTGAGATCTACAGAATGATCAATATGGGGAGAAGACAACTAAAATGAAAGATTTCTGCTAATATACCTAATGAAAGATGCCGTGAATACTACATACTATTCTCTTTCACACTTCCCATCTTTCTAGTTCTGTTCTCCCAAGCAATACCTCAAGCCTCGACCCTCCCCCGTTCTCTCTCCCCATCTCTTCTCTCTCTTCTCTCCCGCCCACTCACTCTTTCCCAAGTTGCCAAGACACGGCTAGGCTTCCCCCCGAAGCCCCGACTGTCACTCCCACAGCAAAACTGAAGGTTTACCTACAGCATCTGTCTGTTTCGGCCCACCACTGACTCCAACCTCTTTAGGAATCCACATTTTCTGTTCGTGACTACCCCCCGCTACCAGGCTGTCTCATCTCCCCTCTCCCACCTCCACCTATCACCATCACATTTGATTCTCTCCCAAAAGACGTTCACTCGCCCACAGTCCCCTTTGCTCCGACCCACCGCGCAACTCAAACCGCATTGTGAATCAAATTAAGAGGCAATACACACAGTCTGTCAGATATAATACTGCGGGTACTAAAAGGCCTTTCAGCAGCAAGTATGTATGCATGTATGTATGCATGTATGTATGTATGTTGTATGTGTGCATATACTTTCAGTCTCCCAGGCACTATCACCAGAAAACCACTACTACAGTACCCATAGGGTCCCGGGCTGGGTGCGTGCTCCAACTAGTTAGTACACTGATTAGTGCTCCTGTGTCTGACCCACTGCCACACAAGTAGTGCTGGAAGCTCTAGTAGAAGGGGCTGTGGTCACTTCGGGGAGTTGCCATGGGACTCGGCATGGCTACTAGTCTAGGAGCTCCTGGGAAACGTTACTACTGATCTATTGGAGGCGAGTCTCCTCAGTAGTTGAGTTGAAGAGAAGGCCGAAGTAAATACAATTCTGAGGTGCATAACTCGGAAATGTCACACAGAGACCCAGTAACTGTTAAAGAGTGTGTGGTAAATCTGACCTGCTCCTCTCCCGAGAGCCAGCTGGGAAACAGGCGTGGTGTGGGGAGAGGGGAGCGAGGAGGGGTGGACGGGGGAGAGAGAGGAAGGATGAACGGGGACTGGGAGCGAGGACCGACGGGGGAACTCAGTAGCCGAGCCTGAGGTGAGGGAATGATCGAGGAAGAGAATAAGTCCTGCGGCGAGAACCCAATAGTCATCTTCGTCTTCTTCCGGGACCTGGAGGAGGCGGGCGTCCCGACAACACTCCGCGAATCTTCACGTCCCCCCTCCTCCTCTTCTACCTCCCCCGCTTCCCCATCCTCGCTTAGGAGACCCAGCTGGTTGATGTTCCCTTCGCTGGACGACTTGTACACCTGCCCACCTCCACTCCTTCTCCTCTCCTCCTCCTCCATCCCACTCTCATCCCGCTCCGACATTCCTCTCTGCCTCTTCCTCACCCCGGCAGTCCACGACGCAGTCAGGGAAGACATGGGTGACTCACCCCTCCTCTTCCTAAATGGAGGAGGCAGTCCTTTCCCTCCATCTACCACATCCACTGGACTCCTTCCCTCTACAGCCCCTCCCTCTCCCTCCTGCTAGCAGAGTGTCTGGGTCTTCCGAGCTCTCATTCGCAAACACCAAATCCCGGTCGACTTTTGCTGCGGCAGCAGACGCAGACTTTCGCCGTGACCTTCCCTCCCCTCCTCTGCCTCCCAGGGAGCTATCAGACCTGTTTCTGTTACGACCAAACAGTGATCTTCGAGTTTTCTCTTTCGGCCTCTCGCTGGTGGTGGTGGCCTCAATCAGAGGTTCGACAGAGCTTCCTCGCTCAAATGTCAGCCCAGGGCTCTGCACTTCGGGTGTCGGGGAACGCGTCTGATCGTCGCTAATCGCGAGTGACTCCTCTACTCTGCCCTCCTGATGAGTCCCACTTGAGGAGTCAACCTCATCTTCTCTCTCGGAGCGCTGGAGAGACAGTGGAGGAGAAAGGTTTGCAATAGTCTCAGTGGTGTCTCCCAGCAGCACAGTGCCGGGGAGTGAAATTGGGGGAGAGAGAATGCCTTTCGCCTCCTCCTCTCCCCCCTCCTCCAGGATTGTTCTGTAGTGACCCTCACTCGAGGAGGGCCGTGCCGGGATATCCTGACTAGATCCAGGGCCCTTCGCCTCACTTATGCTCCTCTCCTTCCGACTCCCACCTCCCGTCTTGACCGCCAACGGGAAGAGTTCTCCCGCATCAACGGGGATGGAGACGTAGCGCCGCCTCCCCTGCTGCGGAGAGTCAGGTGTCTGCGGGATGTCGACGGTCCGAGACTTGTGTCTCATTGCCTGGCTCCGGCGTTCTTCGGCCGAGCGGCTCCCCAGTGGAAGACTACCGGTGTTGGTACTGGCCTTGATGTCCGAGAAGGAGTTAAAGTTGGTTGGACTGAGTTCCGGGGGAGCCGCGGAGGGCGGGCGGTGCCGTCGCCCTATCATGCCCTCTTCCTTGAGAAGTCTCTGCAGAGGTAAGTCCTTCAGGTCCAGTCCATAGACCGACTGTGCCAGTATGCGGGTCATTGTGTCCAGCACAAACTGTGCAGAGAATCAGACAAAGTACAGAGAGTGAGTGGTGGGGAAGATGCATACATAATCTAAAGCTGGTATAATGTCTGTCATGGTCCTATGGCTTATAGAAATAAGGGAACTTGATACAGGCTCTAAAGTGATCAATAAGCCATACTTTCCAGTGTTCAATGATCTCCTTCCAGTGGGTGAGGGAAGACAGAACGTTCGAGAGGCTGTCCCACAGTTGAGGCGAGACCTCTGTCACCATCGATGCTCGCAGGTAGCACACCAGGAGAGTCTGGGTAACAGAGTGTCAGACAGCGGCGAGAGGAAGCATCTTGATGCATAGAACATCGTGTGCAAGAGATCTAGTGTACACAGTATTCTAGGAAAATTAATGGTGCCAGGGGTGAAGTGGAACAAAATTGAGGAAGAGCACAAGTTATTAAACTTCACTTACAAGTGATTGACGCTTAAAGCAAAACCATTTGGATAGGTAGTTTGTCATCCTCTACTCTTCACTATAGCGTACCTTGAGGAGCACGGCAGCAAGGCTCCCAGCCAGCGAGGAGTCCTTGTCTTGGGGTGGGTACCCTCTCAGCAGCTCCAGTGTCAGGTGGAGAAGTACAGCCAGCAGGTACTCCCTATACCAACACACAGTCAGTGTTAGACACTCTGAGGATCTTTGGGATGGTGACACATACATACACCTACATACATTGGTAAATCTATGGGCACTGCAAGACACTATGGTACTAGCACCTAACACACAACAGACAGACAACAAGGAAGGCACTCATCATTCCAGGCACTGGCAACCCCAGACACAGCAAGCACCCTATTACACACCTCATCAGCAACACACTGCTGTACTAGTACATGGCTGCATTACCACGTGGAGTGGTCGAGGGTCCAGGTCATGACCAGTTCCTGGTAGAACCTGAGTATTCTGCGACAGAGCCCCAGCTGCTCTCCGCGGGTCTCCTCGGTCTCGGGGAGGAGGAAGACGAGGGAGGTGTGGTGGATCATCATCCTCAGACCACACTGCCTGCCTGCCGAGACGTCGCTGGAGTCGTGTCCGTCGTAACCTATGATGACTTCCCACGGTTGTAGGGAGATGGGGGAGAGAGCTTCAGCTGGAGAGAAAGACAGAGAGAGACTAGCGTTTTGCTAACCTAAAACAATAGGTAAAAGAGTACTGCGTATTAGCAACCGAAATTCAATGCTTTACTCTCTTGCAAGCACATTTGCAGCTAGTATATAAGAGAGGGTAAATGGAAGAAAGTGAGATAGAGTCGAAGAGGGGGCCACAGACCCTGTAACTCACCAGTGTTGCTGGAAACAGTCAGGAGGCTCTCCTCTCTCCACACAGACGGTGGCATCATAAACGGAGGCAGCTCCCTGCCGAGGGCCCCCTGGACCCAGCCCCAGTACAGCTCCACGACCTTCCTCACCTGCACCGGCTGGGCCACGCCTCCTAGGAAACCCTGTCTGAACACCTCGCACAGCAAACTGACGTTGTCCCGCGACGTGAACCACATTCTGGCGATTAGATCGGGCCCGGCGAATGGGGTAGGGTGGGGATGGAGTGGCGAGGAGGGAGGCAGTTGGGACACTGCATAGCTCACAGCTTCGCCCGGTTGGAGCCAGGAAAGTATTCGGGTGAGGATGATGCCTTTGATCTCGTTGTACACAGGGTTTGACAGATCGTAGTCTAGTTTTATGACCTGTGTAAGGTGTGATGGTGGTGGTAGTATCGAGGATCGCATTGGACGAATGTTTCTGACCTGAGACATGCGATACCCGCCACTTCTGTGGAGCCTCTTCCTGTCTCGCAACGAGGGGGAGTGGCCAGAGGGAGCTGGGAGCATGGCATCAGTGGGGGAGGGGCGTGTCCCCTGATCTAGAGAAGACTCTTCCCGTAGCGCGTCCAGTGTCCGCGACTTTCCCTTTAAGTCAAATGTCACCTCTACAGAGAGAAAAGAGCCTCAAAATTATTAGTAAATATTTGAAGGATACAACGTTCTTGAAATTTACGGCTGTCTTTCAGTAAAATTTGGTGGGACAAGAGGCTTTCTCTAGAAATTCTCATTAGCTACAGAGCTCTAGGGTTTTCCCCCTCCCTTCAGACCAATGTCACTTGCAGTTACAGTTCTTACTGATCTCAGGAGGTTCAGGCTTTACGTAGATCCCGGCCTCCGTACGAAAGTTCTTGAAGAGGCAGGCGAGGTAGAACAGCTTGAAGAGGAAGAAGAGGAAGGCAAATCCGTGGAGATGTTGGACTCTGTCCTCCCAGTGCAGTCTTCCAACCTGTAGTACAATAATATGACACAACACCCAGTGTGGACAATAAAGGAAACCAGCTACTATTGATTTCAAATGTAAACAGATGCTGTTTGTATAAAACTGGAAGTTGTGGCGAAATACCATCATCATTGGGTAACTACATAAACAGCAACGTCTTGCACATCTCTCTTGCATGACATTGCAAACCTTCTCTCATTTTCCCCTCTCTCTCTCTCTCTCCGGCTCACCTGCTGAGTGAGAGACTCCATGAGGTGGTTGATGAGCTGCAGAGCTGCCTCGTGATCAGCAGCACTCAGGGAACCAGAGTAGGTTGATCTGTGCAGTGGCTGAAGACTTGCAATCTTCACCACCTCTGTAACCATCATACCATACTCTAAATCCCTTCCTTCTTTTACCATACTCTCTCCTTCCTTCCCCCCTTTCTCCTTCACCTTATTTCTGACTCTTTTCTTCCCTCTCTATTGAGTAGAAATCTCGGAAATTTTGATGTAAGCTACAGTTATCTTAATTAACACAGGGACCACTTAAAAGCAGGACAAGTAATGTTATCTCCCCTCTTTTCTTCTCTCTCCCTCCCGAGCCACACATACCTCTGTACCCGCTGACAGAAGCACTGGAGGCTCGTCTGCTGAGGAGACCAGCTCCGTCGCGACTGGAGTACGTTCCATATCTCTCCACCAGACTGTGAGTGGAGAGGTGGGGGTGGAGGGAGGAGGAGGATGAGGAGGAGGAGGGGGAGGAGAAAGAGGGGAGACCCAGGGGTGTCTTCTGAGGAGGGAAGTGGGGTACCGCGGAGGCAAACAGCTGCATGCTGGCATCACCGGCATTGTTCTGGAGAGCCTGGAGCCACAGAGTCAGCAATCGGAGGCCATCTTGTCGCAGCTGCAGTGCAAAGAGTGGGCAGTACAGATACGTACACAACATGTAAAAATAGTGTATGAAGTGTGGCTTACCCTCAAGACATTGTCTGGATGTAGGAGTTTTCTGATTATCAAACCTGAGAGAGAAGGAATGGTTAACACACTTGATCAGCACATCGTATAACTACTAACTACTAAGACTAAGACTATAATGTGTGAGTACTCGGCCGATGGCTGCACTTTTCTTCCATCCACAGCCACTTTAGGTCACTCCCAAATCCTCTCGGGCACATACAGAATCACACACACTGCACGACCCTCAGCAGTGGTGACCTCTTAGAGCCCAATCAGTCACCCAATAGCAAACTATAGCGTGCTTTCCTCCCGCTGCTAATCTATGTGATCATCTTGAAAGGTCACGAAAAACAAAAGAACTACAAACATAAGAACTGAGATATGTCTGTAGGAGTTAGCCCCTGTGATAACTGTTAGTACAATCCAGTGAGTATTGTGATAGGCTCTGCATGCACAATTAGGTACTGGACGACAGTACTACTGGGTTGTGTATGCTGCTGGGTGGGTCTTTATTACTGCTGAATCTGGCTAGTGAGTGCTAGCTGGCTGAAAACACATTAGGGGCAAAAGTGTGGTGCTCACATATTGAGTTGTACTGGAATCTTTTGTGAATCAACTCTGGCAGGTACACAATAATTCGCTGCAGTAGAAGAGAGGGCCATTTTACAAACAGACATTAGCACATTACCACACATGAAAGGTATTGCATGCGCTATAGTCATACCTCTAATGCAGGCAGGGCCGTGTCTCTCAGCTCCCTAAGATGTAGCTCACTGTAACCTCTACCTCTGTTAGCTGAGAAGACGGAGGGAGGGAGAGAGAGAGAGAGAGAGAGAGAGTTTAATCGTGTTCCAGACGGGTAACATGCCACAACGTTGCATTGAACAGTAGATCAAACATCTCCACACAGATCATTTCTGCTATGTTGGGTGAACACTACCTCCACCTCCTGTGCCCACAAGGGCCTCAGTCGGCTATTTACCAATCGTGGGTGTGGTCTTACTCACCTTTCTCCAAGATGGCTGACTCCAGAGAGCCAAAGTAGGAGTAAAAGATGAAGAATATGACTGACGAATGCTTTTCATAGAGCTGCTTCACCTCAGTCACCTCTGCTGCCTTTTCTGAGGGTTGAAACAAAAGCGCACGTGCACTACATAATGTGAGACGCGACTTGTAGTAGGACTAGCGTTACCTTCAGCTTGTCTCAGCGCCTTGAGCCGTCGCCCGGGGTCCCGGCCGTGCTCCAGAAACTTCTTGACGGCCAGGTCGTACTCGTTTCTGCCCCTACGTCGATACATGCCCGCGGCCGCTCTCTCTCACCTGAGAATGTGTAGGACTCGTGGCCGCATTTCTCGAGCAGTGGTGGAAGAAAGCTGCGTGTCGACACTCGGATCTCTTCCTCGGTGGCTCAACCACCGGGACAGAGGCAGTAGGCTATGGTTCGACGGTTGGAAACACGGAGAGGGTCCAAACGTTTTTCATCTCTCAGCGGCCATCTCTGGAGTGGGCGTTTTCCAATAAACGCCCCTCAGGATTTTAGGAAATACGTCAACGATTGAACGTCATCAAAACAAACAGGACTGAGTAGGGAGAGCCGACATCGAAGAGGTTACAGACACGATGGCGGACTCTGATTCAGATAGAGATGGAGAAGGAGGCCAACCCATGCCTCCTGCCGAGCCGGCAGAGCCTCCAGAGCAGCCGTCTTGCCTGGTACCGGAGCTTCTCTGCGAGTACCTCAAGATACCAAAGTCTCCTACTGAAGTGACGCTCATGCTGAAGGTGAGGGCAGTGGCACAGGCCACCGAGGACAGGAGAGCCCCGATCACCATCTGCGCCGTCATCGACAGGAGGTGAGCCGAAGAGCGACGCGAGCAAGCGCGATCATTGCCTCGTTCTTGTCTGCAGCGGGAGCATGAAGAAGCATCTCCCTCTGTTGAAGGAGACGCTGCAGTTCATGGTGCAGCAACTGAGAAGCAGCGACAAGCTCGGCGTTGTCACCTTTGATCACGAGGTACGGAGAATGCAAGCTGCATACTCCTGAAACTGGAGATTTATGGCATTGGACTGTCTGCAGGTGAAGACTGAGCTACCTCTGACAGCCATGACCACGTCAGGGAAACTGCTGGCAGAGAGGGCCATCGATGGAGTAAAAGAGAGAGGACACACCAACCTCAGTGGTGGGCTGCTTGCTGCACTGGAGGCTCTCTACAGGCACGGAACTAGCAAGCTATGTAGTGCCTTCAATTCAATATCTTTTCATTGGGCACTGCAGGATACCAGAAAATGAGGCCTCACAAGTGGAATCAGTTCTCCTGTTCACTGATGGGAAGGCAAACGTTGGGATAAAGGCACAAGCTCCTCTAGTCAAGGCAACAAGGTATTCATGCTCTTTAGCGATGAATCCTCTTATGTCTCTCTTTCCACTTCCTTTTTTTCTCACTTTTTCGCTAGTGAAGGGAAAAGAAATCATGCTCTTTAGTAATACATCCTCTTATGTCTCTCTCTTTTCTCTCACTATCGTCTCTAGTTCAATGCTGGACCAGATAGGTCGGCAGGCCAATGTGTTCACATTCGGCTATGGAGGAGAGCACGATGCGGATCTCCTCAGAGCAGTCAGCGAGGCTGGTCACGGACTCTTTTACTACATTGACAATGCCGACAGCATCCCCGAGAGCTTCTGCGACTGCCTAGGGGGTCTGCTTAGTGTGTCAGCCCAGGTATATAAGTCCCTGTCATAGTCTCATCTATTACTATATACACCCATCCACACATTACTATTGTTGGTAGAATGTGAGGCTATTGTTCAGAGCTGCTGAGAGGATGAAACTCCACAAGCCACTGACAACCTATTCCACAACGGAGATGGAGCAGCACACAGAGTACCAAGTCACCATCCCCGACATCTACTGGTATGACTATTACTAGCTGCAGAATCCTGGAAGTAGTAATTGTGACTATGAAAGCAGCAAGTTACATCTAGGGCATTAGTGACACCTAAACTCCTGAGAACATTTTTAATAGCATTCACATACATAGTCATTATACTTTATTAAATTTTGTTACAATTATCTGTGCAGCGAGGAGGAGAAGTGTATTCTGGTGAAGGTGACAACCCCTGGACGTGACTCCATGAGCGAGTCGGAGAACCTCGCCCTCTCCTCCTGCACCGTCACTTACTTTGACGTCCTCAACTCGTGCCCGGTGCAGCACAGAGTGGAATGCAGCGTGGTTCTCAACCCCGCCATCTCCTGTCCCGTCACTTCAGACTGCGTGGACGACGTGGAGCAACACCGACTCCGCTGCGAGGTAGCCGAGGCTCTCGGGAAAGCCAACAAAATGGCCGACAGTGGGAACTTTGCCGGAGCTCGAGGCCTGCTACAGGGGACGGTGAAACGAGTGAGAGGGAGTCGAGTCTCCCGGCAAGTTCTGGCCGTTCACCTGTTAGAAACTCTCCAGGAATCACTGGAGGGGATCCAGGACAAGGTGACGTTTGCCCAGCACGGGAAGGCCGTCATACTGAGCTACGCCGGGAGCCACTGGCAGCAGAGGTCCAACACAAAACCGTCCCAGGAGGGCTACGTGAGACGGAGGACCGAGATGGCCCCCACTGGACTCCTGTCAGCCAAGTCAGCTGCCTCCTCTGCACCCTCCTCTACCAACTCCTACAGTCCCTACCGCAACTCACACAAGACTACACTACTCTCTCACTACGCAGCTACCAAAAAATGATTTATTTATTATTTTATTTTTACTCCAATTTTAGCTTGCATCACTCATCACTGTTTATAAAAAAGAAAAAAGGAAAAAAAAATTGTGTTGTATATACACCAGCAAAATTTGATGTTTTTTAATCACTGTATATACAATGACAGTTACGTGACCTGTAATAAGTGATTGTTGCCTTAAATTTGTTCTCCATTTCGTGGAGGAAATCACTGTTGAGTTCATTCGTAGCTTCATATACGATTTACGCTCTCAAGGGTTTTGTTTTCATCCCCAGCTGTAATCTCTATCGGATACTGATCCACAACTGGCTATATCACTCAATCTATTATGAATTATGTAATCACAGAGTCAGAATAAGGGGTCAACTTTTGATTTGTTACAGGTAGTGCTTTTGAATAGCATGAATAAAATCTGACTCTGTGATATACATAGCTCATAAGTGTTCGAGTGATTTAACTTGTGGGTGCGGTTGTAGACAGTGTCGGTGAAGTTGGATGAAGAGCATATAAACCTTCTGGAAACACGATCTTCCCACTAGCTTGAAATGTTGTTCAAAGCTCTCCACTAGGATGCTGGCTGCTCCAAGCAGGTGCAGCACCTGTAGATTCTCAGCTGTGGACTGTTTTGATTGGCCTACCGAGTTTTGATACTGACTGGCAGAGATCTCGAGGGCCTTGTAGCAAGTGGTCAGAGCCATCACCTTGTCAAAGTCAGACATCATGTCTTTCCACACGGCTGCTGAGATGAAACGCGGGATGTACACAAAGTCAATGTCGGTTTCTTCGTCGGTGGAAGAATTTGGGTAGTTGGGGTGATAGATGAGGGGTTTGGGGTAGTCTTTGAGCATCTTGGTATCTCTGAGTTTGTTGTGGAGAGTGCTGGCGAGGTGGGACTGGTGCGCGGCCTTGGTGATGATGGTGGCAACCTCTGTGACGTAGGAGGCCGGGATGGGGCAGCAGTTGAAGCTGGAGAGACAGAAGAGGAGGAGCCTCTCTTCAGGGGTGAGATCGCAGTGCTGGATGAGGACCGTCACCACCTGCCACGAGTCATACTTTGCACTGGTGATAAAGACGTCTTCTTCGCCGTCTCTCTTGATGCTCTCATAGAGTTCTCGACTGACGTCTCTCACAGGTGTGCGGAGGAATTGTTCCTGTGGCTGGGAAGAGAGGTGCTCCCTGGGAACAGACAGAGGCTTCTGCTGAGGCAGCTCGGACAACCTGACTCCAGAGGCAAAGTCTTTGAGAGCGTCTTCTGTGCTGGCGTCTGTCCGTGTGAGAGTGAGGTCTAGGAGCGAGTTGGTCAGATCGATGATGGGAGGACTTCCAGTGGTGAACTCGGCCAGTTTCTCAAACAACACCTGCTCTGTTTTGGAGGGAGTCAGGTGGTGGTTCTGGAGGGCAGAGTGGACCAGACGCTGCGTGGCGTGGATTGTTGACAGTGGCTTGATGTTGATGATGTTGGTCCCTCGGATGAGCTGGTTGTGCGCGGACTTCTGCAGCTGCTCTGGGAATGCGGTCTTGGAGACGACGACAATGTGGACACTGGAGTGCTTCAGGAGACTCAGTAGAGGGCTGTCGTCCTCCTTGGGGAAGTGGTTGAGGTAGTAGAGAACAACCAATGTTGGGTGGGACTCGAGGAATGGGAGCTCCGAGAGCTCTTTCAGTCTCAGACTCTGCAGTGGGATAGAGACGTCAGTCAGTGATGATTGATAGTACATTATCACATTATCACAAAGAGTTGGGAGGAAGCTCACGTTTTTGATGGCAGTGAGGGAGGCCTCAATGAGCTGAGGGGTGCGGCAGTTGACCCAGAAGATGCCTCCAGAGAAGTGGGTGTGGTGACAGTGGATGAAATCAACCAGTGGCTCAGAGGGCTTCACTCCTGGTGGAGCGTGCAGGACCTGGGGTGGCAGGAAATTGAATTTCAATGTCAGAACCATAGTTGAAGGAGGAGATAGGTAAACTACTGTCAAAACTGTGGTTCAGATTGGAATTAAAGGCAGACATGGTCTCTAGGAGTTATGGAACTAAAATTTCCCTCAACAAAATTCATCATGATACAGTAAGTAGTGTGGTGGTAGATAACATCACGGAACATATGGGGAGATGCATACCTGTACATCAGTGGGTAGCTTGGGATTGTTCAAGAAGGCAGTCTCCAGGTTCTTCAGAATGTCCAGTCGAGGGAAGACAGAGGAGGTACCAAGTCTGGTGGCCAGCTGGGCTCGTGAGTAGGACTGGCTGACACTGAACTGGAACTCTCTGCCAGTGAGCTGGTAGCCACTCCAGTGGATGTACTGGGAGTACTTGGAGAAACAGCGGAGACAGAGGATTGCCTTGTGGAGGGCCTGGGTCCCACGCATCCCCTCCACCAGGTACTGGTAGAAGAACTGCATGAAGATGCAGGCAGACTCGTCCGGGACCCTCCACAGTGCAGTGAGGACCGCCTGGGCCCCTGCCAGGATGAAGGCTCTGGCCATTCCTTGGATTCCGTCTGCCTTGAAGACACCTCGTCCGCTGTCACAGCTGCTGAGTACGACGAGTGCCGGGGAGATGTTGAGCGACTCGATCTCGTCGGGATAGATGAGGACACGTTTGGCATCGACGGCCTCGCTGGAGGATGATGTCATTCCTGCAAATGCAAGGAACCCTGCGACTGCACTGCCGTGGGTGGCCAGATGGATGACTTTGGCGTTCATGATTCTCATGAGAACTGCGTCCTTTGTGGCCTGTTCGTGGAGGATGGGTTTACACTGCAGTATGTGGGACACCCACTCTGCTTCCTTCGTGGCGTGTGGTAGCTTGCCGAGGTCCCAGTCTTCGTTGTTGAACTTGAAGCGAGGGATGTTGGGGTTGCCAACCACACACAGCATCTGTTGGTACTGGACTGGGATGGTCACTGACACTGTTGGCAGCTGGTCCAGAATACCCATCGTTAGCAGGGAGGGCACTATTTGGAAGTAGTAGTTGTCTCCCCAGAATTTCCCAGTGTCTTTGTCGAGGACGCAGGTGAAGGGGAGAAGGTTGGTGTAGCTATCAGGAATAACAACAATCTTTCGAAGTCCCCCTTTCTTTTTCCCTCGGACCTGATCTGTTTCAGCAGATCCTTGTTGCAGGGAGTGTTTGGTGTTCAGAGTAGAGAGCATCCTCATGACGGGTCGAGCCACCAAGTCATACAGCTTCTCCAGCGGCTCTGTCTTTTCCTTCTCGTAGTCAAACGGCTTGTACATTTCGAAGCTCTTCTCGACCAGTTGCTCATTGAGGCTGTAGCGAAGATGGTAGTCCAGAGATTTTCCGTCAAACTCGTTGTCACTGAGAGGAACTTCAAACATGTTGACGATGGAGGACTGGTTGTCAGAGGTGGGGTAGAGGAGCCAGCCCAGGAGCCTCTCTCCTGTGTACGAGAGGTAGACAACGGGGCAGCTCTGTCTGCCCACGATGGCCTTCATCTGGAACAGAGAGGGAGGGGACATGAGCTCGTGCTCCAACTGAGGCCCTCTTCTCCTCAGCATCAGCTCTCCGAGGGTCCGGGCTCTGCTCTGCTCGGCCACCAGGAGAGCGTCTTCGTATCTGATTGGTTGCTCCTCCCCCTTCTGGATGTGGACCAGGCAGTCCTGCATTCTGTGGAAGGTTCTGCTGTTGGTTTCAAAGAGGGAGACCGAGAGACTAAGTCCCTTCGAGGAGCCCTTGATGCCACTGAAATTCACCTCGTGGTGTTTTATCACATACTCCAGGTCCCTGGTTCCCTGCAGGAAGTACTTCTGGATGGCTGGAGTGACAATGTGAGGTCTGAAAATGTCCTCGCAGCGCTCAAAGTCAGGTCCGTGCAGGGAGACACTGAAACAGCTCTCTTTGGTCGGTAGCTCGTCATCTGAGGAGCTGTGAGAGTCTGATACAGTGAGGTGCCGAGAGGATTGTTGTCCCTTGATCTCTATCTCTCTACAATTGGTTGCCATACTTCTTGCTCCACTGCTTCGGCCCACATCAGGTATCGATGATCGAGTGGGTCCTCTAGGCTTCTGAGCTGAACTGTTTCCCCCGTGAATCGTGGGAGTCTTTGGCATGGCAGCTGTCTTCTTCTTCTCAGCCCAGTCATAGTAGGCACAGCCTCTGTTGTGGTGGGCTGTGGTAATGGTGGCCTTGTCCTGCGAGAGACGCATGACCTCTGTGTAGTGGGGAACCGCTCTGTCGTACTGTTTGTTCAGCATCTGGAGGTTCCCTATGTTCCCGTACACCCTCGCCTGGCCTGGGATGTCGTTGCCATAGATGGCTTGAGCAAGAGCTAGATCGTAGTGCTCTTCTGCCTTTGCGAGTTCATTCAGTGACTGGAAGGCAGTTCCGAGGTTGTTATATGCTCTACCTATTGCTTGAGGCGTGGTTTCAAACTCCACTGCCATATCCAGGGCCTTGAAGAGGTGGTGGAGGGCCTTGTCTCTCTGGTGGAGCCCAAGGAGGGCATTCCCCAGATTCCCGTGGTTCCAGCCAAGGGAGACATTGTCTTCGAGATCTTGAGCTAGCTCTATGGCTGCCTCGTACTCCTTCACGGCTCTCCCGTTCTCCCCGATGCCCTGGTAGAGGTTCCCCAGACTGGTGTGGGCACTCAGCTGGTCCTTCTTGGAGGCAGCTAGCTCAATGGCCTTCTCGTAGGCAGCCACCGAGTCCCCTACTCTGGAGGCATTCTTGAAGGCAGAGCCACACTTGAGCCAGACGGCTGAGCGGGTGGGCATCACCATACGGAAGTCCTGGGCCACCGACTCTCTGGAGTAATGCTGGAGAGCTGTCTGGTACCTCCCGGCAGCCTCAGAGTACCTCCTCTTGGCAAAATCAATGTCCCCGATGTAGATGTTGCAGATAGTGATGTCTCCGTCTCTGCCACAGTCGTCTGCCAGTGCCAGACACTGGGTGAAGAACTGGACACTCTTCTTGTGGCTGGACAGCTTGTAGTAGGCCAGGCCAGTGATGAAGACGAACGGAATCTTTAGCAGAGGAGGGAGAGAGTGAGGGGGATCCCCCTCGTAGGCTATGGGGAGAATCCTGTTGTAGTCCTGGGCATGGAGGAGCTCTGCTGTGCCACGTATCCTCTCCTTGTGGTCTCTCGGTACAGTCTCTGAGTCCAGGAATGAGTGTCGAGATTGTATTGAACTGCGAGCATTTTGGACTCTTCTTGTTGATTTAGGGTTTTCTGCACTTGCTTCTCTGTTGGCTACAGTAACGACAGCAGCGTCACTGTTCTTGCTTCGTCCCTGGGCCAAGTTCTCGGTCGGATGGTGAAGCTGTGAAGTCTGCTGTCTGGAAGAAAGGGGAGGACTGGGGTGGGACTCTGTTGTCTCCATGAGACTCTGCACTAGTGACGGTGAGTGGAGTTTGGGAGGTAGGGCTCCCCTGTTCTGTCTCAGAACTGACTCTGGGCTGGGTCTCTCAAACATGATCTGCTGGCTCTCACTGTCTCTGTAGTGTCTGTTGCTGATGCTCTGAGCCGAGAGTTTCTTTGTGTAGTCAAACTCTGAGTGACTTGGATCCGAGTGTATGTCTTTGATGGAACAATATCTTCTCTTTGGGCCAAATGCGTCAGATGGTGGGTAGGTCGTGCCAATTGTTACAAAGTTCCTTATGTCGTGTCGAGGACAGCACTTGGAGTAGACCTTCATGTGGGAGTGGATGACATCCAGAGGGTTACTGGAGTTGGTGAACTCCAACACACTCACTCCCGAGGACTCTTCCTCTCTGCACGGTGGACTGTTTGTTGCTGCAGTTTCAGCAGCAGAGGGTTTGGCAGAGTCATATAATATTGATGGTAGAGTGTCAGTAGGCGGAGTCTCAGTAGGCGGAGTGGTAAAGCCATCAACCTCAGTGTCATCCGTGGGTTGACTATTAGTGATGTTACTGGTACAGAGTTTGGTAGAGCCGTCTACTGATGGACTATACGTTGCAGCATGGACAGGAGTGCCAGCGCCGTCTACCTCACTATCGTTCACACATTGCTTTTTTTCCTGCGATTGTATTAGTGGCTTTAGTGTTGCTGATTTACTTGGCGGTGCAGATGCACCACCTTTTGCGTACTTCTTTTTTCCCCTTGTAGGATCATTAGATTGTTCTTTACTGTCTGATTCTGATGATTCTGAACTTGAACATCGATTTTTCAGAATTCTAGATTCTGCACGTTGCCTATTTCCAGACGCTGAGTGTTTCTGACGTAACGGTAACTCAGATGATGACAAATCAGACTGCTGAGTATCCTTTGCAGAAGTGCACCCTTGTGAGTCAGTTGAAGAATTGGTGCTAGTTTTACTGCTGCTAAAGGAAGCTGATTCACAATGGGAATTCGGTTCTAGCTTAAATCTTTCAAGAAGTTCTGGTCTTGACTCTTCCACAGCACCTTCACTTCGTGAGTTGTTTTCTTGAGCAGGAGATGTATTATCCGATACAGTAACTGCTAAAGATAGTGGCTGAATAAACAAAGTTAATTCTGAAATTTGCTCTGGGTCATAACACGGCTCAGGATTCTCATCAATATCTTCCTTCGTAATATCAATTACCTCTTGTGTATCAGGGATTGGGTCACATGGTGAATATAGTGTTAGAGAAAATAATAAGCCTAGCTCATCAGTACAAGTGTCAGTTTGTTCCAGCGGTTCTGTATTAGAGGCAGCAACATTTGCATTTGATTTAGGTGAACCATTTTGAACCATGCCCTCTCTAATATCAATTGCTTCTTGTGTGTCAGAAATTGGTAGTTTTTCAAATGCTGAATCTAGTAGTATTGGAACAAAATATAAGCCAGGCTCATCAGTAAAAGTGTAAGTTTGTTCTTCTTGCTCTGCACTGGAGGTACAAATACTTGTATCAAAATATTGACATCCATATTTCTGAATTTGGTCAGGGAGGGAGCGAGGATTAGGTTTAGTGCCATTTTGAGACTTTACTTGCCAAGGAATGGTGCTTTCATAAGTTCTACACACCTCTTTACCTGCCGAATCATCCACCGACGGTTCCACATGAATGTGTAAGAGATGTACAGGACGGCTTGCAAGAGAAGAGTGTTTCTTAAAGTTCAGAACTTCACTTTCTAGACAATGAAACATCTTTCTACGTACATGAGTGTCAGCTGATTTGATGTGAAATACAATGTTTCTGCTGTCGACAAATGACTGCTTGAATGCGATAGAACATGCAACCGGTGGGAAGTAGTACCTTGCCATCGAGCTACAGACGGTATATCTTGTGGAGCTGTATCCAGGTACATGTACGTTTCGCTTAGTTTCAGGAATTTTGTTCGTCATATCACCTCTTGTGTACTGACGAGTTAAAATTGACCATTCCTCCTCTATTCTCTCTTTTGCTGGTGGAGAAGCTTTTGATTGTGGGAGTACTGAGTTGTGAGTAGAGGCAGTTGCACCGTACAAAGAAGTGTCACGGCACTGGGAATTTTGTTGTTGACACGAGAGATCAAACCGTAGACCCTTTCTTAACATCCTCATTTCTAGGTAGGGATTATGATACCTGTTCTTCCAGATTGCTGATGCAAAAGTTGATGTATTCTTATCTTTCTGAACTTCCGCTTTTTTAAACTTTTGCCTCATCCGCCAGAGTGGACCGACAATATTGCCTGTTTGAAGACTGGTGACGGGGTGAAAAACACGGATAGGCTTAATTTCGTTGTCTGATTCCTCCAATTTCTCTCCTTGGATTACATCATCCACTGGCTGGCAGGGTAGAGATATTTGTGCTTTATGGGGAGGTTCTTCTGTAGATGTATCTTCCTTGTTCAACTCTTCAGTCACAGTATCAGATCTGAAGTCAGGTGCACTTACTGCGTCATAAGGTTCAGATGCCAGTATGGTTGGGTTATCATTTTCATGTTCCTTGGGTAATGGACTAGATTTTAAAGTTTTTAATCCATCTGAGGATGAGTCAAATACATCCATTTCTATTCCAGTTGTGCTTTTACATTCAGTACTCGAAACAGTGTTTAGCGAAGTTTTTTCCTCATCTGAATACATGGATTGTTCAGACTGAGATTCTGTGTCTATTGCAGCAGTACATCTTTCTTCTGGTGAGTCCATGTCTTTAACTGATGGTAGGGAATCAATTTCTCGTGCAGTAGGGACAGCAGCAGGATCTTCAGCAGAAAAATCCAGACAGAAGTCTGCATTTAGCATCTTCAGTAGCTTCCTACGCAATTTTTCGCTCAAGCCAGAGTCCTTCAACACTTTTATAGCAGCAGCTCTCGCACCTGGTACATTCTGCTTAAGATGATGCCAAGCTGTATACCCATCACCGTCCGCACATTCAAAGTCAATGGCAAGATCATGCACAGAGTGAAGTTTTAGCAGGGTTTCGAGGTAGTAAATGTGACCGGTTTTCATTGCTTTTAAGAGACAAGACTGCAAGAGCACCACACTACTAGTACCATGTGGATCAGACAGCACACATTTCCCCAATAGACAGCTAACCATCTCATCATTCATTTTGCTCACTGCAATATCTAGAGGAGTCACATGCTCACAGTTTCTAATGGATATGGCAGATGGATCTAGTCCAACAAGCTCTCTTGCAACCAATATATCATCATGCAAGACTGCAATGTGAAGTGGAGTATTTCCAAGTTTGTCCTGCATGCAGAAGAGTCTGGGAGATATATTGTTGTTGCATAGTGTGTGAATGAGAGAAACTGCATCATCATCTCTAAAGACACAGGCTATTGCATGACAGATAGTTTCCTGACACTCCGTGTCTTGCTCTTCCAATGCTACCGGACCTGCATTACCTATAAAACCATGCACATTGGTCAGAGATTCCAGTCGTCTCTTCCAGCACCACACAGTAGGGGGAGGAGGTTGAGGCTTTGGTGCAGGTGGGCATGTTAACAAGGGTTGCAGTTCAGAGGAGGCACTGGCTACAGGTTGTGGTTCAGAGAAAGCACTGGCTACAGGTAGTGGTTCAGAGGAGGCATTGGCTACCATGTTTCTACCCTGATCAGAATAGCGCTCAGATGTCAATGACACTGCATTTGTCTGATTGTTGAACGGCGGCTCTTTAGGTACTGCCCATTTCTTAACTTTTTGCATATCCTTCATTTCAACAGACACTTTTTTTACGACATGCACTACGTTTTCTATAGTGGTTGCTCTAGTAACTTGAGAATCAAAAGACCGCCATTCAAATCCTGTAGCACTCCCCGCATACACATCACTGGTCTGGTCTACTTCGGGCAAAGCAATACTCTTAGAACCATTTCTACCATTAAACAGCATTATTTGTGAAAACGATGAAAAGCCCTGTTTCAATGCTAGTGCTACTGCAGCTGCTTCACTGTAGTCACCTTCCACATGAGAGTCATTGTGTGAAATGCTCGAAAATCTCTCAGTTGGAAACATATGAGCTCCATTAATATCGCCGCAGAACCCGCTATGAGTTGGATGCTTTCCTTTCTCGTCTCCTATGTCTCCAATGGTGGAATCCTTACCAAAAGCATGTTTTCCAACCAATGTACTTTTATTATTAACACCACTTCTTTCTTCATTTCGAGTGGTAAAAGTGCTCATATTCATACAAAGGGCTGTTTGCTCAAAGGATCCCAGAAAATGTTGGTACCACCACTGATGGGAGTTTATGGAATCTATTTGTTGAAAAGCTTCAGTTACAGTAGGGTTTCCGGGAGGTACCGGAACTCTGCCTTCACAAACCATAGCCCTAAATACAGGTACAACAACAAAGAAGCCATCATTGTCCACAATGTTTCTGTACAAGCCATCTTCTAGACCAAGGCCTATGCTCAGGAGTAGAGCAACTAGTCCAGGAACTGCAACAGACGACTGCAGTTGCTCTGGTGAACCGTGGTATCCAACAAGACGCATGCTAAACGAGCGGATCATGTAGGCATAGTAAAGCTGCTCTTCCCTATTCATCTGGGAAATCCGCTCTCCGAGACTATGCTGAACAGCCTCTACGGTTTCTTGTGCCCTTTTGTGCAGGCTATCATCCAGCCTTTCTTGCCCACTACGCATTAGCTGCAATTTTTCTACTATGCCTCTCAGCAGAGGTTGCACAGCTGACTCCAGGTAAGCAGGTAAAGTACATTGCAGCAGTTCCTTGCTCATGTTTATTGGGTTGCTCCTTTGTTTTCTTTTTTGTATTTCCTGTGAGTCCTGTGAGTACAACGTAGTTAGTTGATAGTCAGTACAGTAGCTGGCAAATCTTCAGTATAAGTAATCAGTGGATAGTCAGTATACACAGTAGTAGGTGTAATTAGAGGATAAAATACTTCGTACAATTAATGGATAGTCAGTACATACAGTAGTTCGTACAATGAACCCCACCTGTTTGTGTACCTTAGAGGCATCAGAAGTAACGGAGGTCTCGTCTCGTGATGCTTAAAATGCTAGTCTAGCTAGCCCGTGTCAGACCCTCAGAAAGCTAGCGAGATACCACGATAGTGTAGCTGAGCCCATTAATTAGCTATGCACATGTATAGGTGCAATTAAGTGTGCCGAGGGTTTGCACTTTATGCTTTTCATTAAAGACCAACTGCAAGTTGGCTTGCATCGAAACATTCACATACAAAAAACGGTGGATTAGCTAGTTTTAAAGCAGTATAATCACGGGGTCGCTGTTTCGACGACGGATATGGATTCTAATGGCTCTGCTATATCTGGATCCGAGTTTTTGTTATCATTCGACAACTCTGGGATCTGGAGGGTTCACACGAATCAAACTGGGTTGTAGTTCAGTTTCGACGACGCACTCTTCTTTTTCCTTATAATACCAGGGTGGTGCACTTAGCTATAGCTAGGTCCCGTATTATTCAGTGTTCAGTACAAAACAGATGCCAATGAGAGTGAGCAATTGTAGTTAAAATAACAGGAGATATGGAAGGATAGTAAAACACAATGAAATTGAATGAACACATAAATTGAGATTATAAATTTACAGTGCATAACCCATGCCGCTTAAAAATTATATCGCAGACAGTCCAGCGGAAAGGCTCCCTCCCGTCTCCTTGCTAACCATTACAGGCACCCAGCAAGCTCAGTGGAACTGAACCTACTGTACTCCCTGTCATACAGTAGCTGCAACCCGTCCCTATACATGAATACACGCAAGGAAGTGCTGTCTCACTACCACCGCAGAGCGAGAGCGATCTCTAATTAACGCACACTCATCTTCGGAGAAAACCGGCCTCTGCAGCTCTCCCCGCTCTAGAATCTATCTCACCTCAGAACTGCCATGAAAAGCAGGGGACATACAGACAGACATGTACACACACACACAGCCCGACTTCCAATAACCCTCGCTGCGCATGCGCATAGGCGAGGGTCAATGGGAGGGTCAATGGAAAAAACACACGTGGGTCATCTGTATCTTTACGTCCTTCACAAATTGACCTTCAAAACTGCAAAATAATAATTGTCATTGTCGAGCGGAAGTAATCTATATCCCCGTGGTCTGGTATATCTGCACATGCGTTCGAATTAAGTGCTTCTTTGATAGGCGATCAGGAGCAAGCTTACCTATTGGTCCAAATGCTACAAAATCTTCATTAAAATACGTATGTACATTAGTCAGCTATGCATGCATTTTAGTTTTCTGAGAACTAACTCTATGCGTATCAGTATCTACGATTTTACCCAAATTACGTACCATTTTACATGTTTTCATTCTTTCCAGTAAGTCTTCTGGGATCTCTTTAGAGGGAAGTTTGGTAGTCTGCAGTGTGTTCTCTGGTCCCTCTTCAGGATAATCCTGTAGTAAATACAGTGATTCCTCCGGTACTCTAGGACTGGAGTAGGGAAGTACACCTGCAGTGGGTTTCTTCCTGGTGCTTTTGTACTTCTGAGAGCCTGGCATTCGTGTTCTGGAGTTCTAGCCTGTGGAGCACTCTGTTGAACAGCCTGTAGGATGCCTGCACAGTCGCTTGGCTCCCCTTGCTTCCCCGTAGAGTGCCTTTGAGTTTGAGCGCCAGCTGTCTTCGGAGTCAGAGAATCAACAGCATTATTCATGTCAAAAGAAGAGCTGGAAAGAAATTTGCTCCCCCCTTCAGCGGGAAACTACACCAAGAAAGGATACAAAATATACAAGTAAATTGCATGTTTACCTCCAGTGCAGTTTCTATTCCCATGGTTCTGCAAGCCTAAAATCCGAACTGTGAGAACACTGTGGAGAAGACAAACAAAAACACCACGTGATAATGTCGCCCGTCACGTGCTCCCGCGCGCGCGCGCGCACGCAGCAAAATAATTATGCTCTGGCTGGGCATGCATGCAGCGCGCGCAGCGTGTGTGTGGTCCGTCGGCCGTTTTGTTGACGAACAGGCCCGGATGTAGATTCAACTGGAAGTTCAGTTTCGGCGGTGCACTCTTCTTTTTCCTAGCTATGACACCAGCGTGTTGCACTCAAGCTGTTTGCCTTGGTCCTGTACTATCTTCATTACGTCACTTCGGACAACAAACAGTTGTTCACTTCGTCCGCTCCGCATGCACACGGAGATGAAGAGGCTCTCGACGTAGACATGCACCTTGCACTCTCCTTTTGCATGCATGGTGCTCAATCGCGGGATCGGGCTCGGCCCGCTGCAGTGGCAGCCGCTTTCGCCGGTCCAAATCATCAGCGGCGGCACAATTTACTGTGGAATGTGTTTTGCTGCAACAAAACCGCTCTGCTCATGCTGGCGGCCCAACGCTGTGCATTCCAGCATGTCAGTGTCTCCAAAATTAACATAGACTGTCTCACTGCTTCTTTGTACACGCCCAGGCCCCTCAAATCACAGCTTTTTTACAATCATCATACTGACTCGATTCGCTAGCTATAAAGGAACCACCCTACGACATTTGCAAGAGTAATTCAGTATTATACCTAAAGTACTGCACCCAACTATCGAGACGAGAGCAGGTAACTTCGCAAAAGACGCTCAATTGTGATAGGCTCTGAGAAAACGACCCTTATGGCGCTAGTAGTATTGTTGTAGTAGCGGCGGTTTTACGGCGAACTACGTAATTCACCGATTCCCGCTTTTCCCCGTATTCTAGTACCTCTGTCTATCGTCCATAACCTGCGCAAGTTTGACGCACTAACTCCGTTCCGTTCCGTAATTATGGCCCTGGGTACCGGGCAAGTATATACCGTTACTCGTGCCGCCGTCGTAACACGGGAATAATCAAACCTTTTACGGGGTCACGTAAACGGGAATTCCCTTTACTAACGGCGTACAATGAATGCGGCCGGATGCGCGCGAGCGCGCAATGTTGTAACACGGACTTGTTACGAGAATACGGAGGTTGAAATTTGACACCGGAAGTTCACCTTCAGGCGCGATTTTTCACGTTAGATCGATGCAACGGGAATGGCACTTGCGCTTGTGCTCATAACTTCGCAACGGAACGGGCTACGCCCCTGAAACAAACGGTAAAAAATATAGAGCATTTATAGGACCTTCGGTCTAGCATACAAACGTATTTTGCGGTTTTTGCGTCATAAGGGTCGTTTTCTCAGAGCCTGTCACAATTCTGCAAACTGAGGAATGATGAAATAATTTCCTAATATAGAAATCGCCAGCACCGCGCATGCCCAAGCTAAAGACCCACATGGAGGAGCCTTTTGGATCGTTGATGTCCGAAAAATTGGCCTCTCCCACCATAGATATGCCAATGGAGAGTCCAGATGCCCATGTCCTTCAAACATGCTGGGTGTGGTTCCGATTAGAGAGCAGCCATCAGTCTGTGGCACGAGAGAGATGTTTGTGCAGAAGGGAGAAAGAGTTTCTGACCATCAGCACGGACTCTGGAGCCGTGCACTATGTTGCACTACCATTCGTGGTACACATGGACTAAATACATTGCCAATTTCGACATCTTGTGGTTGGGTGCAGGTGGAAAAAATGGCTCCTCTCTCAGAAGGGCTACTGTTGGAACGGTCCACAAGGGAGGAGACTGGAAGTGGCCTTCCGACAATGTTTTCCCTCCTCAGTTCCACCGGTGATCTCTCCCCTATTGTTACCAGGCAATCATTCACTCATGGTAATACTTTCATCTAGCTAGATAGGTTCAATCTATATAACAACTGGTGGTTACATGAACACTCTTTTATACCCTTTTGTGACCTTTCCATGTGGTGATTTGGAATTTGTGGAATTTAGTCAGTGTTTACAGAGCTACCTATACTCCCTCATGCAGGAGTTACCACTACACTCTTATAAAAACACCTCTGTCCCATGCCAGATGTCGCACATTCATGCATGAAGGAGTATACACTGTATAAGGTAGCTCTGTAAACACTGAATGCCTGCATGGTAGACTGTGAATCTTTTAGTAGCCTGCACGTGAGTGCTGCACTGGCATCTTGTGTGAGTGCTATACTGGCATCATGTCATTGTGCCCCCTGCACAGCAACATGAACCAGCTACTACCATTCCTTCACATTGTGGTGTGTCTGTATTATGCCACAGCGACCTCAGCTACTACGTGTAGCTATGTGACCATCCACACCTTCACATTGTGGTGTGTCTGTATTATGCCACAGCGACCTCAGCTACTACATGTAGCTATGTGACCATCCACACCTTCACATTGTGGTGTGTCTGTATTATGCCACAGCTACCTCAGCTACTACATGTAGCTATGTGACCATCCACACCTTCACATTGTGGTGTGTCTGTATTATGCCACAGCTACCTCAGCTACTACATGTAGCTATGTGACAGATCCACACCTTCACATTGTGGACAGTTGTCCACAGGACAGAGATCTAGTCCTTCTCTACCACACCTCCTCTCAGACTCACTCCATCTGGAGAGTCAGACCCACCTCTGCTGAGGTACATAGCTACAGTATTGCTAGACACCCAGTGTAGTGTATTGGGAGGCAACATACTATGGTGTGTTGGGAATTTTATTGGGGTGGATTCACATGAGCAGTGAGACAGAAAATGCTACTATATACCCTAATAGTGACTACCTCAAGGGGTAGTTTGTTCTGGGGCAGGAGACATCTGTCAATGGTTGATAAAATAAGCTTTGCTGGCTGTTATGACAATGACTGCTGCTGTTCTTTGGCATGAACAATAGGTTGCTACAGTTCCCTGGCATTGTGTTTCATTGTTCTCTGTGTCTCAGGACATCCCAGCTCATGTAGCCAACACTCCTCATCCAGGGAGGAGATCCATGAACTCCTCCACTGCTGTCACACCAAGAAGTACCTCAGCCCCCTCTCAGTATGATCTCCACCCAACTACCCCTTCTCATAGGACAGATACCCCTGTACAAATGATCCTGACAGGAAACAAGAAATTGATGAGAGGTATAATACAGTGTAGGGTTACCTCAATACTAATTCCCCTGTTGTTGCTGCTCCTCCTTGTGGGTAATCCCTTCCTGATTTCCCATGCCTGTTGCCCAAACTGAATTATTTATGGTGTTGTGGTCAGGGAAGTGGCAACCACAACATCTGTGTTGTTGCTAGTTTACTGAGTGCTCCCAATGGAAACTGCCTAGGTGGGTATGTTATTGCAGTTGTGTTTATCTTTCAACAGGCCTCAATAAGGCCACCCCTCATATGTTCTCTGGTGGAGGTGGAGGGGGAGGGAGAGGGGGCAACAGGCTAGGCAGTGGACGCTCGCCGTTCGCGCCTCGGTTGCCAACCCCTCTCAACCTGGGGAATCAGAAGAGGTCCAAGAGTGTATCTCCCATGCACCAAGCCGGGCGGCTGTCTCCCTTCTCCCAGACGGTCCACAGTAACTCCTGGACCACCTTCTTCTCCGAGGAGTCTGCAGTCGCACTGGAACCACTCTTGCCTCAGATCTGTATTCACAAGCTGGCAGAATGTGTGGAGAGGTGAGTTTGTGAAAATCAGGCCAGGTTTTACTGCCATTCATTGTGAGAAAGAGATCATGCGATAAAATATTTCGCTATTCAGGATTCAAGGACATGCCTTGGATTTCTTTACCTGTGGGTGTTTGTTTCCTACTGGTGTCACTTACTACTACTTCACCACCTCAATAGCAGAGCTCTGGCAAGTTACTAACAAAAGACTTGATAACTGTCATAATCTGTACATTCCATTCTTGATGGGAATGTACAGATTATCTGAATGAAACTCTTAGAATTGCTATATATCAGGTTGCTGCTGTGTGTGCATAGTTATTTGCTGACCTGTCTAGAACTACAGGTATTCTAAGAGAAACACAAACCCTATAAAATCCCTTTGTTGTGTTTCTCTCTAATGACCCATGCAGGGTTTTGTCTGCTGAGTGTGCTGAAGCGAGGACCCCAGCATTGAAGCTACCAGCCTCCCATGCAGTTCCCATTACTGATCTGAATGTAGTACTTGTCCTGTCGCCCAGGGGAGAGCTTTCTGTTTATAGTGGTGTGTTAAAGGTCTGTTTCAATTCCCACGATTGTATGCATGCAGCTGTGTACATGGTGTATAGTGTGTTGTGAAAAACAAACCATATTTTTACTCTTTCAAGGTGTGTGAGTTGGGGCTGGAGTGGCTTTTTGCAAATGGTGACACTGACAGCGGAAAAGTGGACTTGGACCAGATTGAAGGGGAGAGGAAACTTGTCTCCATAAGAGGTGGTGAAGGTGCCCAGTTTAGTGTTCAGCTGAGCTCTGGACTAGTGCTGACTGGTGGGCTACCTCCAATCTACCCTCACACTCTAGTAGGTTAGTGTCTCATACCCAGCCACTATATACACCCACGAGAGAGGAAGGAACAGTTCTGGTAGCTTTGATAATCATAGTGTAGTGGAGTAGGACACACACAAACACTATGAATCTGCAGTAAATTGCTGTGTGGTCACATGCAGAGAGTTTCCCAGGGTTTTCCCCTCGTATATAATAGTGGATGTCTAAGTTCAAAAGTACACTAATGTTCTCCCCCTTCAGAACTGAGTCTCAGAGCCACAACAGAAGTCATCCCTAAGGACACAGCACACCTAATGCTAGCTGACTATTACAGTAACTGTATCCAACTATCCCCCAGTCCATTCTCAATACACCACTTTCTGCACTGGCTCCTCTCACTACTTCAGCTGCCCTCACTTCCACCACTGGAGGCATCTCAACCTTTTCTTCTCTCCCAGGTAGATACCCGCTGCAGTTATATCCCTATATGACAAGCTCTCGTAACAAAGTTGTTTTCTTTGCATGTATTCATGGTATTCAACATAATTTACTTAGCACCCTCTCTCCCATACTTCATGCTATGAAATTTTTTATTGCATCACCCACTCACAGAGGAATTTAACAGTTTTAAGGCTGTTTGAAGTAAAGAATGAATGCATGCCGATACCCCAGCCGATGCCACTTCCATCCTCTAAAAGATGTCTGGTGCAGTATGCTCGCAGTGTCTTCAAAGTTTTGCACTTGGTATATGAGGTGAGCAGAAGATGAGCTGGCAACTTGCCTAATCCTTCTCTGAATACATATACTTTGGTTGCATCACACATATTGCCTCATCCTCCACATGGCATGCACACAGGAACTGAAGGTTTACTCAGAATGTAAAGACTCCCTTCCTCTGCTGGCAAGATTCCTCCACCATGTTGCTACCTGTCTCGGTTTCCCTAGCTATTGTGATCTCTACCCTGCCGACCATCCCTCCCTGATGCCATCTTCACTTGGACACACATCTGAGGGAGGAGATGAGGAGGAGAAGATGGAGTGTGAGGGTGAGGAGGAGGAGGGAGAAGGAAGGGAGGACACACATCCTCCAAATTTGATGAGTCATCTACACATCATGCTGACGATGGGAGCAGCAGGTCATGTGAGTGCTGCTGAGTGGATGTCTCATGGATTAAGCTATTGCAGCAGGTGCCTTTCCCACTGCTGAGCGATGTGTGTAAGAGGACAGCACAGCTTGTACAGGTATTTTAGTCGCACACAACTAACAGACCTCTAAGAGGCAAACACAGCTTTGACACAAAGTATGGCTCTATGCAACGTAAACTGTCTCTGAGACTTATGTCTCAAGCAATAAAGGTGTGACCTTTTTTTAAAAGTGAGCTATGGCGACAGATTATCCCAAGCATTTAACCCATTCATACAATTCAGTGGGAGTTTATGGGTCTAATTTCCTTTGTTTCTTTGTAGCTATATGCGCTGTATAGTGGAGGTGCAGGATCCATTTTCTCTATCTCTTCTTTGTTCACCTCTTGCTCCGCCCTCGCCGTGTCAGCTCTGACTGAATGGCAGCAGTAAGTCAATTGATCACTGGCATACTGTTTCCTATACCTCTCTGATCATTTCTCAGACTGCTGGAAAAGACCAGCTCCCCTCACCAGAGAGTGGTGCTGTGGATAGTGGCCCAAGGTATATACTGAGAGTAAACCACAGTTACTGATTGATGTCTCTGTTTGTCTCTCTCTCTCTCTCTCTCTCTCTCTTCAGGTCTGACTCGTGAGGATCTCGCTAGTCTCCCTGTGGGCGTGGCACTGCCGCTGTGGGACTCCATATTCCACTGTAGAGAGAATCCTCCACCCTCTGATGATCTCAGGCTATATGAACTCATAGGTACAGTAACAGGATACATGGAACAGGCACTGTGTACACCCATAGTGGGTATTGTTACGTGTATGGTTGCAGCAGTTACAGTATATACCTACTAGTGTACACCCATACTTGGAACAGCTACAGTATTCATGGTTCACTAGAACTGACACTTATTCAATTTCTCATGCTTGGTAACAAGGCTTGATTCTTTTACTGGTGTGTTAACTGTGTGAAGTAAGTCAATAGTCTCTGTCTGTCTGTGTAGGGCGGGAAGACATCTTAAAGACACTGCGCACAGCAGCTGGGGACACTACACCACTGACAATAGAGGTCTGTAGGTGTTGTACGTTCCTATTACCATCTAAGGTGTATAGTGTAGACATTATGTAATACCATCTACCAGTGCACAGCTTGCTGTAAGTTTTACTCTTAAAAAACCTCTGCTTTGTGACATAATAATTATTGACACCTGTTTGCAGGCAATGGAGAAAGATGATGGTATGAAGGTGGATGATGAGGTACGAAGTGGTCGTGGAAGATTAATCTATACTATATTGTTTATACGTGTCTCTCATCAAATGGACAGATCATAAAGCTAACGTTCAGTAAAGACCTAAGAGTGAATGAAGTGAAGCGGCTGCTCAATTCATCGCAGCCAGTCAAAATTTCCCTTGAACAGAAGCCGGAAGTGAGGCAAGGAGTCATTACAAGAACACCCCCGTCCCCTGTCCCTCTCCTCCATTCCTCTCTCTCTCTCTCTCCATTCCTCTCTCTCTCTCTCTCCCTAGTGACCATGAATTTATTGAGCAACAGGAGCTGACGCTGCTTACAGTCTGCCAGAGAACTATGGCTCTACCAGTGGGCAGGTCAGTAGTACGTTACCGACTGAGTACCAAAATTCACCGTAACTCCTCCCTTTAGGGGAATGTTCACTCTGGCAGTGTCAAAGCCCCTCCCGACCTCGCCTCTCTCTATCCCTGGCGTTGAGCTAACTGGCAGGGCACCCCCAAAGTAATTGCATTAATTAGAATGTGGGACTTGGGTGGAAGTATTAATTATAATATGGGACTTGGGATAATCATAATACTCATGAGAGTGTGTAGGCATAATTGTTATCTTCCTTATTATACCTCCCCCATTAATCTTTTGGAGTTGCGTTTACACAGTGGACTTGGTGTGCCCATCATAGAAATTCCACGGTGAGTCTGGAGCACATAGAGAAACCACCCAACATGGTTCTCTGGCCTCAGTTCCACAATGGCGTCGCAGCTGGTCTCCGTCTCTCCCCCAATGCCATGGTAAAAAACCAGCCATTTTCACCCCTCATCTCCTCCTCCTCCTCCTCCTCCTCATCCACTAGTTGGATTCAACTTGGATCCTCTCCAACCGTCCATCCCCCCCTCTCTCGACCCCCGCATCCGAGGACGGCAGTGGCCCCGCCCACTCTCGCTGCTCCCCGCAGCATGCCGGTCTCCTCCTGGCCCTCGGACTCTCGGGACACCTCTCTTCTCTAATGGACTTTGAACTCTTCGATTATCTTCAAGACAAACACGAGTTGACCACTGTCGCAGTTCTTCTGGGAATTACAGCCTCCAGGTATTACATAATAGTTTGAGAAAAACATGGCCTGACAATTTGTTAACGTGGGGCAGAACAAGCATGTTTTGATGTTCCTTGCTTGAGTTATGACCACGTTTCATACCAAGCATACAGCTCTGCATAATGTTATGTATATCTCTCCTTGTCAATACACACAGGGTTGGATCAATGCAGAGATCCATAGCAAGCATCCTATCAATATTCCTTCCTCCTCTCCTGCCATTTGGCTCAGCCGACATGGAAATATCTCAGACCATTCAGACTGCAGCTCTCACTGCTATGGGCCTCCTCTATCTGGGGTCGGGCAACAGGTCGGCCCAATAACTGTCCCATTGCCCGATGTTTTGATGCTAATGCAACGAATTGATTAAATTTCTAAGCTAATCAGTCTCGTTACCATATAACAAGGTACAGTAGTACTTAGTCTTAATATGTATGGGAGTATGTATGTGAATTGCTCTGAATTATGAGTGCTAATCAGTCTCGTTAGTCTAGACTACCATCTGTCATATAACAAGGTACAGTAGTACTTAGTCTTGTATGGGAGTATGTGTGTAAATTATGGGTACTAATGGTGATGATCCACAGGCATCTCAGCGAGGTAATGCTGAGGGAGATAGCCCACGTTCCAGGGCCAGAGCTGGAGTTTGCAGATGACAGAGAGTCCTACTCCCTCTCCGCCGGGATAGCTCTCGGGATGACCACTCTCGGGGTAAGACCCTGTACTTACAGATGTTTTTACAGACCCTGAAAGTAAAAGTTTTGGTTTTCCTATGGGACTGAAAAACTGTTGTTGAAAGCAGCAGCATTTTCCGAATAAGTATTTAAAATAGCAGTCCCTAAAGGCTCACCCCCTTTCCCATATACATGTGCATAATCTTCCATGCGTGGTAAACATCAACAAGGCTGCTGCAAGACTAAGGTAAGAAAACAAGTCAACTACACCCAGGACAACCCAAGTACAAAAAGCTGCCCTGCATGCTTGACAGAGGGAACAAGCTCTCTGTTTGTTTCCTTGGTAACCAACCCTTGTACCCCATGTGCAGCGAGGAGGGGATCTCCCTGGGATGGGTGACCTGAGACTAGTGGAGCGACTGGCTGTCCTCATCCTCGGAGGACCCAAGAGCCAGGTGCACTGCACGTAATTGGTTATACCCTGTTTTTATCTGCACCATTATGGACCCTGATTAGGGAGAGTACACGAGTATTACTGACAGAGCACTGTTCACACAGTGACTAACGTTAAAAGTCATCATGAATAATGTGATAGAATGTTTACAGAGAGCTTCTTGTTTTGGAGACTCTGCATAGTGACAAATGCCATATCCTACCTATGTAGTCTATGCAAATGAGTAGTGTACTGTAAACAGCTGTAAACAACCCAAGGGGGAGGACGTTATGTGACATGGGTCTGTCTACAGCACATATTATATAGCCCCAAAACTACACATGTGTCTCCTCCCCAGATGCTGACTGGTGCTGCTCCCAACTGTCCAAGTCATCTTATCCTGGTTAAAATAACTGCTGTTGTGCACTATGCACTAGACTTTATGCTGGAACTGAAATGTAGTTGGAGGAAACAGATATATATATATATATATATATATATATAAATCTGCAGCATAGAGAGAGTACACAATTTCATCAGTTACATTACCCTATGTACAGTGCCTGTCACAAACAGAATAAACTATGAGACAACTACATTGTGTACAAGCCTTACTCAAAGTGTTCATGCCCACCGTTTGCATGCATGATACCCTGGGAATTTCCTGATACTCAAAGAGGTGCACGATAACTTTCAATGAGGAAATGCTATCACAGATTCATGAACGGGTGATCTCCCCAATAGAAGACTCTTTTATCATTTGTTTTTTCACGGATTTTTTTTGTTTGAGCAAGTACACTGGCAACTGCTTTTGTGACATTATTTGCAAAATTTTTTCAGTATGCCGCTTATTTTTGCATGGCTGAAAGACACTGTTGACAGGTTAGCCCAAAGCTTCTCTTCTACACAGGAGCCAGAGGTAGTCAACACTCACGTTACCAGCCCGGCGGCCACGGTAGCTCTCGGTCTCATGTATCTCAAGACCAACGACAGGTACCATGCTCATGTGATCGTCACGTGACTGTCATGTGATACCCTCAACACAGCTCAGTGGCCAGCCGACTTGATGCTCCGTCAACACTGTATGAACTAGATCACATCCGACCAGATTTCTTCATTCTCAGAGTAAGAACGAATTGAAACAGAGAAAAATTCTCTTATTTTTTTCTAAAACATGCAGAGAATTCGTACACTATCATGCACACCATCTGTAGCACTCTAGTTTTCACTTGTACTCACATACACATTGTTTCAAACTCTAGATGGCGAGTAGGGGACTCATAATGTGGAGTGACGTACAACCGACCCAGGAGTGGATTGACAACCATATTCCTGGGAGTCAGCAACCTCACAATGCACTTCCCTCTCTCTCTCTCTGTGTGTTGTGTATTATAGTGAAACCTCTGAATAAAGGACACTTTGGGGGCATCGAAAGTACCCTTTTTCATAGGAATCAAAACTATTGTGTGTACAGACAGCCGAGTGTCCTTTATAGAGAAGTGTCCTTTATAGAGAAGTGTCCTTTATTCATAGGAATCAAAACGATTGTGTGTACAGACAGCCGAGTGTCCTTTATAGAGAAGTGTCCTTTATAGAGAAGTGTCCTTTATTCATAGGAATCAAAACTATTGTGTGTACAGACAGCCGAGTGTCCTTTATAGAGAAGTGTCCTTTATAGAGAAGTGTCCTTTATTCATAGGAATCAAACGATGTGTGTACAGACAGCCGAGTGTCCTTTATAGAGAAGTGTCCTTTATAGAGAAGTGTCCTTTATTCATAGGAATCAAAACGATTGTGTGTACAGACAGCCGAGTGTCCTTTATAGAGAAGTGTCCTTTATGCAGAGGTCCTTTTTCGAAGGTTCCATACCTAGTAGTTTTTTCTCTTCTCTTCGCTGGTGCAGATAGTTCAGAGACATGCGTTCCAATCCAGTGACAGGATGGAGGGGCAGAGTGATCCAAACATTGACTACCAGACCCTCAGGTCCTGGGAAAGAAATTATGATCAATAAACATGTGTGCATTCTATTACTGAGAACACTGACCGCTCACGGGATTATTGTGGGTCCAATTAATGAGCGTATTTGCAAACTGTGGAGGCGTAAATGTTGTCGCCACCTCTCATTATGTATTGAAACACTCCCACAAATTTACATGATCTTTTGGCATAAGTATGGTAATCCCTCATGATACCAACTGCCCCCCCTCTCTCTCCTCTCTCTCTCCAGTCAGGCTATGGTGTGCATCAGTGCAGGGTGCTGTCTAGCCATAGGTCTGCGCTATGCTGGAACCTTAGACAAACAAGCCCATTCTGTCTTGGTAAGGATATGGCAACTAGTGATCTCATTCTCAAGACACACACCACTGAGTATAAGCCATTGTTTTAGAGTTTAGCTGTGATGTAATATCATGTGATGATCACATGACCTCCAGATGAAAAACGTTCGTTTCCTCCTCACCAAGATGAGCTCTCCGGCCTCAGCCGAGGAGGTGAGTCCACTAGTAACAGACCACCATTACAGACAGTGTCTTCCCCTCCTCTTCATCCGCTAGGTTGGGAAGTCTTGTCTGGAGATGTGTATCAATGTTGTCGTCCTCTCAGTTGCAATGGTAAGTGAGACACTCTCTTCCCTTTTCTTCTTTCTCCACCACCACCTCTTCCTTCTTGTCTTCTCATCAGACACCTACCCCAAGCATTTTCTCCCCCTCCTCTAACCTCTCTTTCTCCTCCATCAGGTAATGAGTGGTTCAGGAGATCTGGAGGTCCTGAGGATCATCCGCAGACTCCACGCCCGAGTGACTCCGCCCGAAGTCACGTACGGTGGTCATATGGCTTCCCACATGGCCTTGGGTTTCCTCTTCCTCGGTGGATGTCGGTCAGCAGCTCCTTCTCAATACTTCCTCTATACCCCTGACAACATTATACCATATTGTGTGTTGTTTGCCATGAATGCCTTCTTTCCTTCTACCTTTTCAATCTTGTCTGTCTTCTTCCTCGTATCGCACGCTGCTCACTCCTTGCTTCCTCTGTCCTTAGCTCACTCCTAATTCACTCTCCTCCTCATCTCTCTTCTCATTCACTCTCTCCTCATCTCCTCTCTCATTCACTCTCCTCTCTCATTCACTCTCCTCCTCATCTCCTCTCCTCCTCATCTCCTCTCTCATTCACTCTCCTCGTCTCTCTTCTCCCTTCTCCCTCTCCTCCTCATCTTCTCCCTCCTCCAGCTACTCCCTCAGTCGCAGCAACAAGGCGATAGCATGTCTCTACTCGGCCGTCTTCCCCCTCTTCCCCTCATCAACCACCGACACTCGCTACCATCTCCAGGCCCTCCGACATCTCTACGTCCTCGCTGCAGAGCCGAGGGTACTCGTCACGCGAGATGTCGAAACCGGTCAGGCAACCTCCGTCGAGGTGTGCGTGAGAGGAGAGCGGGAAATTAAGGGGAGGACCCCGTGTATCGTGCCCGAGTGGAGCTCCATTAACGAGGTTGGTGAAGAAGTCACACGAGAGTCAGGTGATGATCATGTGACATGATTCTACTCCAGATTGAGATATGCAGTTGCGATTTCTGGCCAATCAAACTGGACTTGAGTGGAGAAGAGAACAATATGAGGTTTGTGAGGGGATTCCCCTCTCCCCACCTCGTCTGCATCAATTTTGAACATGTTTCATCCCCTCCTCCACCTCTTCCTCCTCCTCCTCCTCCTCCTCCTCCTCTTACTCTTTCCCCTATCCACACACTGTGGACCACACAGGCAAGTCCTGGCTAAGTCTGGGACTGTGTTTGTACGTCGCAAGACGGGAGAGAGAGGAGGAGGAGGAGGAGAGGAGAGTTTGCTCGTGGGGCCCTCCTCCCACAGCACTTCTACACCACCTGCTGTGTCAAAGGAAAGGTGGGAGATACAGCCTTTCATTCTACATCATTTGTCAATATAAACATATTATTCTGCAGTATGTGCATGTGGTTTCTTTTCTACTCTGTGAGTTTATATGAAAATTGACCATTTTACACAACGAAAGGGGAGAAGATGGATTAGGGCTCTGTAGAAAGAAACACTGAAACATGCATACACTGTAATCATTGCACGTGTACAGACCGATCACACTACTGACTGAGGATGGACTATGGGGAGGTGGAGACGGTGGAACAAACAGCTAGCTAGAGTGACAGTCTCTCACGACTCAATTTGTACCGTTTTTCTCACGCAACGCAATGCGGGAGACCATATTGCATGCTCGAGCAAACAACGACGACGCAGAGACAGGCGAGGCGAAGCAACAACTGGAATTTCGTTTGCCGAGATCTAAGCATTACGTGGAGTTCAAGGACATAGGCAATGGTATAATATAGTTGAGAGATTTAGCAAACGGCATTAACCCTGATTACTGAACCTCTATATACCACTGAGTCCAAGAATTTTTCCTTATACATCGTCACACACGGATATCATTTCATTGGGTCCCAAAGTGCATGCGTGTTTTGTGAGCCTCAAATTCAATTTCTGAGGGAGAGTTTCGAGCCATCTGGGGGGGCTTCAAGGAATTCATTTTGAGAATAGGTATCAAGTTTTATCGCTGTGAGGTAGCCCGTATCTTATGCACCCCACAGCCATGTAGCATGGCAGCCACATGGGTGACACCTCTGGCCTTTTATGACGCTGTTTATTGACGGCCCTGTTGAATGGTGTGTCTTCCCTCATACCATAGCTGGAGCTGTTTGGGGAAGATGAGGAGGAAGACAACCCCCTGCTGACATGTCTCTACAGCCCCCTCCTGGCTCCCCAGGACTCTCAGGTATATAGACGTTTGTCTAACTCCTCACACAAAGAGACTTTGTTCTCTTGCCGTATCCAGACTTGGTATTGTCTAGCCCCAATGCCCTGTGGTGTTGATAACTATACACTACCATCGCCTAGTGCATGTATAGCATCTACGGCAATGGTATGATTTGGTGGAGACGGTTTAGGTGGAGTTGGCTGACATGACTACAGACGGAGACGTATGTACAACGCCCCATTTGTTGACATGTCTAGGTGCCAGATATGAACCAATCATGTCGGCAGTAACCCTATATACAGTTGGTATGGAGAGCAAGCCACCTGAAATATGATCCAGGCACTAGAGTGCCCACACTCAGCAATGTCATACACAGCAGTGCAAATTGACAGAAATTAGGCGTTTGACTCAGATATGTGCGCAAGGCACTGCTTTCATCTTACAGTTTGTCTATGCTCGCATTCTCTGCAGGACACTAACTGGCAGAGGTTCCTGACGGCTGCCCTCCTGGAGAGTGTGTCAGAGGAGAAACTATCGGTCTTCCCCTCTCTCCTCCACCTCGAGAAGGTCTCCCCACCTTCCCAGAACACTTTTAGCCCGCAAGCTACGTATTGCAACTCGAGCTATTGCTTGTCTTAGAAAGAAGGAATTGCTTGTTCTAGTAGACGTGTACAAAAGACTTGTCCTAGAAGGAAGGAGAGACGAGCGAAGAGAAAACATACAATGCCAGTAGGTGTGGCAGTATTAACGGACGACTGTATCCCATCCATAGATATGCTTTGCTTGCCAGTGTGGCTGCAGATTAATTATATACCACTACAGTTTAATGGTCGCTGATATTCAGTGAATATTTACACAATTCTTTCACCCATTATGGAATTATTCTACGTGGGTCTCTTGAGTCATTTTTCCCTTGGTCGTGTTATCATAAAGTGTCAAGACAAGACTGAATTACTGACTCTCCTACTCATGCTGTAGACATCAGTGGAAGCAGAATGTCTCGCTTGAAATGACTGTCTGCGTGGCTACACACAGACTGAACACACACAACTGACTCTGTGTCTAATACCTGGAGACTATTAGTATATACTCCCCTCCCCTGTCAGGGGATTTAATTCACACCCAGCACAGCAGTAGTGGACACACACGATCTCATTTCACAATTTTTGCTGTAGGTCTCGCATAAAGTCCTGTCGTCCTCCTCCTCCTCTTCCTCGGCCACTGAACTGTGGCAGCTAAAGCTGGGGTGTGCACTGGCAGAGGTGACTGGAAGCCGACAAGACCACTCCCCCCAGTCGTTCCATTCTGACCTGGCCACACTACTGATGCTGAGAGTCAAACAGTCGCTTTACAAGTTTGGGGAGGAGATGGGTGAGGAGAGAGAAGAGGAGGTGCTGCGAGCGTACTTCATGTGTGGAAGAGGAGGAGGAGGAGGAGAGGTGGTGTTGGGAGAGGTGGTGTTGAGAGAGAAGGAGGCAGAGTGGCTGGCAGCAACCATAGTTGTCTATGGAATACCACCGAGACACTCTCTGGGCTTGACAACCGAGAGTGAGTCTCTTTCTCTCTGGGTTGGCGGTTTCATGAGTATTTTCATAGTAGTTCCTATACTGTTAACAAAGCAGGTTTAGTATTTTGTCAATGTCAAATATCGAGTGTAATTGCCAAGTGGCTTTGTCATAGTGATGCATGCATAATTATGATTTACACAGCCACGTATCCAGAGCTGCTGACAAAGATGC